CCGTTCTGCTGTAGAAAGTCCCGAGTAACTCTAGCGGTGTGGGCACGGGCGTTGTCATGGTGGAAAACGTTGTTTCGATGACCTGCGAAATGTGGTATGACGTGGGGTCTGAGAGCTTGATTGATGTAGCGGATTGCTGTGATGCCGCCTCCTCTCCCTGGACCATGAGTCTCGTTCCATGACACATTGGTCAGAATAACGCTGGCCACGTCGACGCCATATTCTGTTCACGTCAATGGCGAGGGTTGAGGATTGGTCCACGGTAAGGTCTACGGCAATGGGTGTTCTCTCTGGTGTGACGTCCGCGCACTGTATCGGTACTGATGGGTTTTCCGTGTTTTCCCACTGTCTGACGTGCTGTCTCAGATGCCTTTGTGAAGGGATTCTGCACGTGCTGTCGCACAACATGGCGGTCTTGTCGCCTTGTGGTAACCCCTGGTCTACCAGTTCGGGGGCGATCATCCGTGGTGTTGGTGGCCCGAAAGCGTTGCTGAAGCCTGTAGATAGTCCGAATATTCACCTGGAGGTGATTGGCAACGGCTTGGCCTGGTTCCTATGAGAAACGTGGCATTCTGCTGACGTTGTAGTGTGAATGAGTCAACCAGGTATGGGGGTGCATTTTATAGAGCTAGTCCCGGTGAACAGCACGTGCAGCATGAGTTACATGAAAATCATGGAGAACACATTACAATCTCAGAAGTCAGGTTGCGTTTTTGAGAACATTTCCTGGGTTCAATTCTGTGTTTGGGAGGGAGCCTTCTTGCTCAGTTAAAGTTGGAGATGTGGTCAGAAATATACAATAAAACATTTGGCAAGTTTTATGCAATGCGTCTATTCAGAGTAACATACCAACCTGACCTTTCTTTTGCTGCTTAGTATATTACCCGTCCTTCCACTTCTAAAGATACTTGCATTCATACTATTTATTGAAATATACGAGGTGTTAGTTCCGATCATGTGTTGAGAGGACGTTAAACCTCATCGCCCCTTATTAGAGACCTTAAGGAATACAGTCTCACTCTTGTTTAAGATATACTGTTAATGACAGTATTTATTTGTAATGGCTGTTGTTGTGGTAATTGTAATATATGAACAGGTGTTAAACTGAAGATCTATTGTGTCAGTTTGTTGGCTGCCTTTTGTTTCTGTGTTTCAGCAGAACGTAATAATACGTGAACTGACATTCAGGTATAACGTTTAGAACAGAACACATTAATAATGAAAACGAGAATGTTTGGGATAGTTTTTTTCAACAAGATTAAAAACGTTCTTTTCCACCTTTTGTTTCGTCATGAAATCCTTATTTAAGAGCACGATGTCGCGCACGATGCATGATATGCTTACTCTTACACTTTTACCATTCTCAGTTGTGGGGCTAAAATTTTGTTCTATCTAAATGTATATATAATAACGGTTATAAAAATGATAAATATTTCAAAAAAGCTCAGTGCCCACCTTCCCCATAAACAATATACTACACCGAAAAGCGAAATATTTCCTATTTTATAAACTGTTTCTAAAATGATTTTGTTGTTAGTTAGTTTAGAATTAGATCACAGACGTACAGCAGACGAGATGAAATGTATAACTTCTAATACAAGGTACATCAAAAATCCCAATGTAAACAGAAATGGCTTATCTTTCTGTGTACAATTTAAACTTTTAAAATGAACTTAGTTATGTTAATTACTTATGTAAAGAGAAAGTTAAAGCTGAGATATTTAACATGTAATTGGTTATTTAAAGATAAGGGTCAAGCTAAGAATAGCGGAGTTATCTATGGCATAACCTTATAATTAAAGTGCAGTAGACTTCAATATTTGGATAAACGGAATATGACCTCATTATAGAAATTTGATCGTTTTTATAATAGTAAAACCTGTTAAGATAGGTAACTTACTCATCGTCACGCTAGTTTTGCTTATGATCGTGTATGCCTATTATTATAGGCATCATAAACAGTTCTTTACAAGTTGTCACACCTAAGCAATTCCGACATCTTGTACGGACCCAGTAGGTGAGGTGGCTGATTGGTTTAACACCTGCGGCTTATACCATAAGTTCTGTCATCGATTCAGTTGTTGGGGTTTAGGTCCCACGCTTGTAAGTGACAAGGGGTACAGTCGACTAACTAACCTCATCTTCTCCTGTTTACGCCTACTGTGAAAGACCATTAAGCACAAATGAATTATTGAAATAAAGATGTCATATGTTAGTTTCGAATTTACCTAGTTAATTTGTGTTCCTTTAGAAACTTTGACTGAAATCACCGATAATATCCTCTACTGACATGTTACCAATATTGTTACTAAAAGGTTGTAGGGGAAATAAAACTATCAAATGGATCTAATGGCCGAATGTTTTTAGACAACTACAAAGAGACTTTTCATAGAATATTTATGTCGCTCACTCCATGATGAAACATGTTTCTATGTCAGAACTATCATCACATGTACCATGTTTTGTAAAAAAAACCGAACAAAACCTCATTAAGACGAGATAGACGCCGTCTAGTAGTGTAGTAATGATAATAGTAATCGTAGCTATGTCTGAAAATAACATTATATTTACATGATAACATAACTTCTGTTTTATTGCCAATATTTCTTTTAACAAAAAATGAATAATTTACATAAAGTGGTTTTATAATGACAAATAAATATCACATATAAAGGGGAGTGCGGGGTACAGACCTGATTTTACTTATATTTCTATAAACTAATTCTTTTAAGTAATAGTTGGAATTAATTCAATCTTTTACGTTGTGGTACAACTACATGTAGTTGTGACTGTCTATTCTTTTTTCTTATGTCTGGTTGAACCTCTGTAGAGTACAACCCAGTGGTACAAATGACCGTGATGGGTAGTCTGCAATATGATTTATTATGTAAGCATCAAGCAAACAACGATGTAACGGATATTGAAGCAAAATCAGACAGAAAAATGAATTTGAAAAATCGAAATAAACTCTCACACTCTGTCATTGTGGACCCTGACTTTAAATTAGAATTTAAAAAGAGACAAACTGTACTATATACAGATTAATCGGAGATGCATGGACTCCATAAAGTTGTGACGAAAAAACAAAACTACCACCAACAAACTTGTATAGTAACGCTCGTTTTAACGTTTCATATAAAGTTTTCAACGTTGCTCCGATTCTAGAAGTAAACCTAAGCAGCAAGCCAAGTTTTCAGTACTGGGTATATGCCCCTTGTGGGTGGACGTTTCGTTTCCTGTCAAACCATCTTAATAAATTCTTTCTTTCCAATTCCTTTAACTGTAATATTTGTTTTGGCCATAATTATTTACAGCAACAGGTCGCAATCTGTCGTCGTATTTGGTTTCAGCTCTCTGGGAATAAGACATCACATACTGTTGTATTAACAGAGATGGCGAAAGTCTGCTCATATAACCCCTCCAAAGATTAAAATCATATTAATATTAACTAATCGTGTGTTATAATATTTACACATCTGTATTCCCTTTAAATCATTGTACTAGAGCTGTTGAGTTTCCTGGGGATTTTAATTTATATTAGAGTCTTTATTTATGAAAATTGGGAAATCACTCTGATCATCAATAGATGCATCAATCTGAGAAGGAGTTGTTTTAAAGAGAGAGAGAGAGAGAGAGAGAGAGAGAGAGAGAGAGAGAGTGGGGGGGGGGTTAACGTCCACTCGACACAAACTAGTTCATTTCGGAACTAACACATGGTTGAACAGGCGACCCTACTCCTTGTCACGTATAACCGGGGAATCGAAACCACGCCATTTGAATCAATGACAGACCTTATTATACAGCGCGCACGTGCTAACCATTCGCCCCCCCCCCCTATTGTTCCAAAGAGAGATGGTCTATAGTTTATGTCAAGTGGATGTTCAACGCAATTTCTCACCCCTCTTGTTATAGGCAGGTAAAACGGTTAAAATGAAAATATGATCACGATCGCGATAACAGATACTCAAAATGTCAGAGAGCTTGTGTTTTTTAATTAAAGGTTAAATTCCAAGAAATGATCAAATTCAGAAAAGAAAATATCATTTAGTTGAAATAACTGTTAATTAACATGCGGTGATATTGACCACATATTAGGATAATCTAAATCGGTGTCAAACAAAAATGATAATTTTACATAATTCTAATAATTATAGAATTATGACTATATTTTATTGGGTGTGACCGTACACAGTAAATATAATGTCAGCGCGAGTGAAACCACTGGGATTGTAATTCCCTTCAATTTATTATCTATCGTGGGCTGAATTAACCCCGTCTATTTCCTGGGTAGAGTATCGTGTGGTATATTATTATATTACATTATCATCACAGTGATCGACAATTTCACAATATAGGTATAATATAATATAATCTCAATATATTAGCTGAAACAATAGATGTAAACAATAAGTTGGATGACATTAAATTAAATGACTTCTCACTGTAACCAAAATTGCAATCACTGTGTCTTTGATTTCATGCAATGAAACCACACTAAATCATCTTCCCACATTTCCTGCAGGACACTATTTAGCAGATCCTGAAATACTATCCCTAACTCCGGAACTTTGTGAACATGATTAGTCCACAGTGTTGAATGGAATTTGGCCTCGTCTATAAAATACATTGGTCTTTTTGAAACTAATATTGTACCCTGCACCTCATGTTGTTGACTCCCATCCGATCAATTAGGCAGGTGTTCATTGTTTCTTTCTGACACGTAGGAGCCAGGATAACAAAAACCAAAGGAGAGAGAGAGGAATGGGGTTTAACGTCCACTTGACACAAACTAGGTCATTTCGGGACTAATATATGGTTTAATGTTATTTCAATAATTCGCTTGCGCATAGGGGACTTTTAGCAGTGGGATGAAACCGGAAGACCAAAGGGCTTTAGTAGGGATGTTATACCATCCAATTTCCGCTGAACATATTATCTCTTAGAAGTAGAGATAAAGTCCTGATGCTTTAATGTAAATATTCACTTGCTTTTTATTTCAGACATGCTATGTGCAAATGGAGAATCCGAATTGAATCTCAGTCAAGGAGTAAAATAATACATGTGAGAACCGTGGATATGGAGGTCCCTACTAAGAAAGATAATTGTTCTGATACCTACCTCAAGGCATATGATGGTAAGATTACATATAGCAAAACAAATTGTTTTATACTTGTGTGTATTTATAATATTAGAGATGGGATGTACTTTCTACTCCGAATCGTTTCAGGCTCCTGTTAAGGAAATTTGACAATTGACAACGCGTGATCCCATCATCGCCTCTAAATTACGTAGGCATGCATTATTACACATTGAGTTTTTTAAAGAGAGAAATCCAACACCCCGTTTGATGTCCATTTTTATTGTGAAGTAATGGGATAACATTGTGATTCAATTTCATTGATGAAAAACATTAATTGTGATATCACAAATGTCTATATCATTATTTCGCGCTTTGAATGTCAATCCCATCTTACCATCTGTTAATAAAGGATAAAGTACACGACTGTTACACTTTTCTCATAAAGTGTTGTTTTACAATTTTTTTATGCAGGATGGGGTTTGGACCCCCCCCCCCTCTCTGGACCTGCCCTTACATATATCTTCTATACTGTACGGTCTAATTTCAAGCGTATCCTGCGAATGTATAACCATCTTTTGGGGACCCTTATATAAAACATGTCAAACTGTAGTAATAGAGTGATTTATTTTGTTTCAGGACAATATAATACAGCTCCATTGATAAAACAATGGTGTGATGACTCGACCATAGTATCATCAGGGGCTTACGTTATTATAGAATTCCATGCCAGTCATTTGTCTGGTAAAGGCTTTGCCCTGTCCTTCCACGAGATAAATACTTGTAAGTACTTATATATTTTATTTTTAGACTATTTGAGTAGTTATTGTCTGGGAATGCAGGTCAAGGATAGATCAAGGGATTGTGGAATCCAACAAGGCATCCTTGTCAGAGATGCAGGACGGAAGGCATGACAACGACCAGCGTCTAGTTATTCGGATAATACAGAAAACAAGACCCCATGTACAATGCTGGCGTGCACGTAAAAGAATCTCTAACAGTTGGAAGTCAATTTCCCCCGTAGCACACCGTATGGCGTATGTTCGTCTACATCATCCCGGTTGGTGCAGAAAAGTAGGACGATAAACCACATTTCATTCATTCATTTATTGTGGGTATAGACATGATTAATATGCAGTAGATAGCAGTAGATATACATTTAAAAACCATCTACGTGTCCAACTAAAGTGTTTTTATTAAATTTGAATATTTTGTAGTTTCCCACAAATGTAAGGCGGGAGGTATTCAGAAGATTGACTTAACCCAAACACCATTGGTTATTTCATTCCCGGATGAGGACGCGTTTAAAAATGGGTGAGTTGACAATAATACGTACTATGCGTTATAATACTAGGTGCTGTTATAGGATCTATGTCTATGTTATAATAATATTTTTAAATGTATATTTTATGAACATTAGTTCTAACATTTTACAAATGAAGTGAGGAATTTGTCACGATAGACTAGGTCGGGAATGATCGCCGTGAACAGAACACCATCGGGTCTCAAATCAGCGCAACTGCTTTTCAAGTTTTTTTACAACTAATATTTTTGTCTTTGTTGTCCTTATTCTTGTTTTACCACATTTCTTTAAGCAGAAGAATGATTGCGAACTCGCTGCGGGAACGAGTTTGTGTAAAGGGAGATAACTATACTTCATATCTTGAATGTGTAATGTTTCAGGAATGGAGATTGTGAATGGTTATTTACTGCAAATAAAATGGACAGTAAAATTATAGTAGAATTAGATGAATGGATCTTAGACCCCAGTTCAGATTTCTGTAATAATAGTCATATTCAATTCTTCGATGGTAATTTGATATTGTATTATTTTTATTCAAGTTATCGGTAATGGGTATTTTGTTCGACTGTTAATCTGACGCTTCGTAATTTCAGCATATGACTTTCGGCTCGGAAAGTAGTTGTTTGGGCGGGACGAAAAACCTAGGTGCCGTGTATACCAGTGGTAGCACGTTAAATATCCCATGACAGTTCTAAATCTAAATAAGAGTAGGCAGTCCCCACCGCTGTCATGGAAAGATGTTCGTCATAGAACACTGCATATATACTCTTCAAAAAAAGTAGGGGATATTGAAATGCAAATACCTATGCAGGTTGTTTTATGATAAATAGTCATGGACACTTGACATGCTTTGAGAGTATGTTCACAGATGAAGAACTTATCGCCCAAACAGAACCACTGAGCTGCACATGCAACACGCAATAGCGCCATACACGTGGGAGGGGTTCATTGTCAAATTTGACACTTCAAGGAAGGGTTGATGAAAACTGCCGAGTGCTAGTTTATCCTATGCATGTTTTGCTTTCCTATCGGTTCCTGCATAAGATTTACGGTTTAGCGTATCTTTGCTTTAGTGTGTTACGTTTAATTTGCAATGAGACGTCTTCAACATGATGAACGTCTACGTGCTATTGGCATGCTTCAAAGTGGTCAACACTGTGATCAGCAGACTGTGGAACCGGTACCAACAAACACACAATGTTGATGATAGACCTCGTTCAGGTCGTCCTAGAGCCACTACACAAGCCCAGGATCGATACATTCGTACACAGATCCTGCGAAATCGAGGACAAACGACCAATCAGCTTTCTGTAACTTGTACCAAGTTACAGGAATTCGAGTTACACCCCAAACGATTAGGAATCGGCTACATGCAGCCCATTTGCATTTCCGACGACCCCGTGTTGTGCCCCCATTAATTCGCCAGCACATGGCAAACAGGCGTCAATGATGTAGGCAGCGTAGAAAGTGGGGTGATCGTCGATGGGCGCGTGTAATGTTCTCAAACGAGTCCAGATTTACTCTGGATTTCAATGAAAGGCGTGCTCGTGTTTGGAGGCGTGTAAATGAGCGTCATGCTAACGTTAACGTCAGACAGCATGACAGATTCGAGCGTGGGTCTGAATGTCTGAGGATTGGTGGAGCAATTACTCATTATTAAGACAAAAATCAAAAACGTCCATTCTCACTTTTGACAGTGTATCTCTTTGCATGTGAAATGGGGCCGTCAGATAAGCCACCCATATGAACTGTTTATGTTCACGTGTAGGCAATTGGCCTGTTATTAACATACACTAAAGTGCATCTCCGCAGTTTTGTATTGTTTCTGAATATCCCCTACTTTTTTTTTGAAGAGATACTTAATGGCCGTCCTCAATAACCGGGTTGGTGCAATAAGATGTTTAACCACCTTTCAATTCAGCTGGTTGATTAACAAAGAAAGATTATAACCTAATTAGAGCTCTGAAGGGGTAATAGACTCTTTCAATCTTTTCCAGTTAAAATCGGAGATCTGAATATTAATTTACTGGATAAATTTACTATTTTTTTCAGGAGATAATTCCAATAGTAGTTTAGAGATTTTAAAATATTGTCATCTCGATCGCCCATTCCATACACTAACAACCTCCACGGGTTATTTATTGGTACGATTACATGGTAACTGGCAAAATACAGCAACCAAACTACCTATTATAACTCTTAAACTACATTCTGTTAAAGTTAATAGTAAGTATACACTTAAACTACATTCTGTTGAAGTCAATAGTAAGTATATTAACAACCTGTAGTGTAGATATATATTTGTGTTAATGCATTTTTCTTGGAGAATCTTAAATAACAATCTTTTAAGCTATAGTTTTACAATGAAACAAATGAATTGATAATTATTGTCCATGTTTTCTTTCAGATCCAATGATTGACTGCCATTCCAATTTACAAACATCAATAATAGATTCTACACCATCTTTAATAGTATATCCTCCTGGTAAATTACAATCTGAGTAAGTTCTTCAATAAATATAGATTTAGACTTGGAAGCAGACGGTCATTTGTTTTAGATTTGTAAGATAACTCTTCTTGGTCTCACTGGGTTACTAATCCCCTTCTTCTTGGGAGCGATAGTCTTCTAAAAATAATCATAAGGCCCCACCAATTAAAGTACGATCGACATTCACTCAATTCAAACTACTAACATTCGGTTCAATTTTATTTTAATAAATTAGCTTGTGCGTAGGGGTCTTTGGCAGTTGAAGTAAACCCTACTCCTTGTCACGCACAAGTGGGGAATCGAAACCAGATCACTTGATTCAATGACAGACCTTACGACCCAACGTTAAACCATTCGGCCAGCCAACCCCAACCCCAACAACAAAAATGATATGCAATTGTTTGTTTCTATTTCAGAGAAGAACCATGTCCTTTACAGCTATGGTCTGATAATAAAGAAGAAACTGTTAGAGTTGATGTTGTTAATAATATAGATGATAATATAACTTGTCGACATTATTTATATGTTTATAATAGTAAGTAAAACAGGTTACAACAACACAGGTTCATCTCAATACAAGTTTCGATTATTTGTTGTGATTTTTAATGTTATCGCGAAGACTAATCTGAAACTATCCCATATCTCTCTTTCTGTAGATGTTAAGTTCGACTGTCTAGTGTCTATGCAAATCATAGTTTTAGTCACGGGCGTGTGTTTCGTAAAACCGACCTCGACATTACATGGTCTGCCCATTATTTATTAACTTAATTATTGCTTTTTGGCCACTAAATACCCACGTGTACCATGTTGTAATTGAGTTAAAACTGATAATACCTTTATAATTAAAACTTAAATTATTTCGTTTCATTTAAAGGTACAGAGACAGAAAATGTTATACCATATAGATGTATTAATGATAAACCATCGTATTTTAATCCTGGTCATATTAAAATACTTAAACCATATAATACAGATAATATAACAGAAAAAGTTGTATTGAGAGCTTACACAGTTGGTAGGTTTTTACTATTATTCTGTAAATACAAGAAAGGGTGATAATCGCGATAATCGCAATAGCATTAAAGGAGTATTCCAAAATTTATTTTAGCGAATAAAACTTTCCAATGTGTGAAATCCTTTTATACATGTATTTAGAAATGTTTAGCCAAGTCCCGTACAACTGCATGCATCTCCGTGATAATTGATCGCAGAAATACACATTCTCTGTTGCCACATGGAGTTGGTGGTATGTTCCCAGATTTCACACTATGCATAAGTGTCGGGATACCCATGCCTATCATATATTTGACGCAGTCATTATCGCGATTATCAAGCCACTCATACAAATCAACAATGACATGATACATCGATAGGCAAATCCGAAGATCATTTTCCAACGGCTCAATGTATTGAAATTTTCAGGTTATCTGATGTAAGATAATATGCATACTTACCCTTCTTCTATCAACGGATACCTAATGAATCTGGGACTGTTCTTTTAAAATCTTAGAAAAAACATTAAAATGGAACAAGAATATGTATTTTCCATATTTTCTTATAGCCCCACCATGTGATGGTAGTGTGTTGGAACAATGGGCTCATAATGGTGATAAAAAAACATTGAAATTAGCCGGCAGTAAAGATGCTTATGATAAGTAAGTATGGATGATTAATTTCAAAATAATATATTTAGTCTCGATTAAAGGGCGCATAACTCTATACTCTGGAACCTTAAAATATAATATATATAGATAGAAATGGGGTTTAACGTCCACTCGACACAAACTAGATCATTTCGGGACTAACACACAGTTCATTTTTATTTCAATAATTCGCTTGCGCGTAGGGTTCTTTAGCAGTGGGAAGAAACCGGAGGACCCGGAGAAAAAACCCAAGATGTTGGACAGGCGACCCTACTCCTTGTCACGTACAACCGGGGAATCGAAACCGGCCAGTTGACTCAATGACAGACCGTATGATACAGCGCGCGTGCTAACCATTTGCCCCCCCCCCCCCTAAAAATAGACGAAAATGGATTTCAAAGCACTTATTAATGTAATATGAAAATATGAATGTATATAAAGTGATTTATATTCAATTTAAAAAAAGAAATGTTATTTCTCATCAATTATATTGGGTGAAATACGTGCAGGACGGAGAGCCTGACAAGGACAGCTGTCTCTTCCTTCGAAAGCTACGAAAATCCCGAGGTTCCGTGCATACTTTGGCGTGCACGTAAAAAATCCCTTGGCAGTTGGAATTCGTTATAAGAATATGCTATAGTGCCGCTGCCCGGGCAAAATCTCCATCATATGACGTATGTCCGTCTTCATTTTTTCCCTAGAATACACGACTCGTGAACTGATTATAAAATGTTCATTGTGTCTTAACTATTGAATATTGGGTCACATATATTTACGGCAAGATAATATTGATTGGAATGGACCAATATTGAATTCTAATTCGTGTTTTTAATTTGGAATATTATGGATAATTTTGAGTTAGAGGTTTAGCTCCTTTAAATGGTTTGACGACGCCTGTTATGAGCAAGTATGGTTGTATGTGAGATGGGGTTATCCGAACCTGGGATAACGGTGCTTCTGGAAAGTGCCGTTTTAATGACTGGCGCAAGGTATTGGCTAAGCTCTAACCAGGTGATGACTGCACTAGTTGATTAGGTTGGAGCGTTGTGGGCAATTTTAGGCCCGTCATCGCTTAACGCCTTTTCGTTTCTGATTCGGTTACTGGGCTGTTTGGCCAGCCACACCATGCTCTGTTATATCTACTGGGATAAGTACTGATATTTCCCCTGATGCCGTGCTCTTTTCTGCGGACAAAGAATCGTCAAACGAACCGCTAATTTCGCATACAATTCTTCAAGAACTGCCTGAACGAACTGCACTGTAGCCTCGAATCATGTTAGATCAAACACCATTTTCTTTCAAGCTTTTAAAGTATGGTGCCTGTTTTAATAGATTAAAATTCACAGGATTGAACTATATAAGAAACACATTTATTACGAACACCCCTTGATGCTATATCTGAAGTTTTACATCTATGTCTATATATTTTGATTTACAGTAACGGATATTGTAAATATCTATTGAAAGCTGAAGATGAAGATGGTAAAATCAAATTATTTGTATCAGGTTCGCTGTTTGAATGGAGTCATGGTGATGATAATTGTGAAAATGATTTTATAGCTTTATATGACGGTAAGACTGCACTATTTGTGTATTAAATTTTCAGTCAAATTACAATCATTTGGGTTTATCGAGAAGATTTGTGTAATTGTGAAGATTTTACTCTCAATATGATCAGGAAAGCTCTCCAAGGAATCGGAAACCAAATACTATCGCACTGTTAATTTTATTCACCATGGTCAGGTACAATAATTTTGACTACTCTTCTTACGACTGTGAGTAGTTGTTTCACGCGCGCACCAATACCTGTTGACTTTCGTCAGGGCATTACATATCAATTCAGCAGAAGCTTCCGCTGACACGTGGGAACCCGTGCCACTCTCTAATAGATTGTTGGCATAAAAGAGACGCGAAAGAGAAATGGTTCAATTTTATTTCAATAATTCGCTTGCGCGTAGGGGTCTTTAGCAGTGGGAACCGGTGAAAACCCACGAGGTTGGACATGCGACCTTACCCATTGTCACGTACAACCGGGGAATCGAAACCATACTAGACATTATGATACAACGCACATGCGCTAACCATTCGGCCATCCAGAGAGAGAGAGAGAGAGAAATGGGGTTTAACGTCCACTCGACATAAACTAGGTCATTTCGGGACTAACATATGTTTTTTTAAAAAAATTTATTTCAATAATTCGCTTGCGCGTAGGGGTCTTTAGCAGTGGGAGGAAACCGGAGTACCCGGAGAAAACCCACGAGGTTGGACAGGCGACCCTACTCCTTGCCACGTACAACAGGGGATTCGAAACCACACTAGTTGACTCAATGACAGGTCGTTCGATACAGCACGCACGTGCTAACCATTCGGCCATCCAACCCCCCTTTCGGCCACCCAATCCCCTTTTTTACATACATGTAAAGAAAGTCACAAAGAAATAAAAAAAAAATAAAAAAATAAAAAAAGATTGAATATCATTACTTATCCGTGTAATTTTAAGGTAATGATGAAGATGCTCCAATGATAAGTAAATGGTGTGGTGGTAGTGTACCAGATGGTTTTCATAGTACTGGTAAAAATATGTTAGTTATATTTAGATCTAATCAACATGGTCGACAACATCAACATCAATATAATATACAATATTTAGCATATAAAGGTTCGTTTTCAAACGTTTTACTAATCATTTTCACACTCACATTTTTATTTAGGAGTACATTATCATCACCACTGTCCGCCATTCCTTGTGTTTGTCCATTCAGAATTCTTGTAAACGTTTTACAGGTGTGTCTATTGTTCTGTTGATCACAGAGATTAAAGCAATCAATTAAAGAGCCGAGTTATTGCAGTGTCACTGAAACCTTGTAAAACTCCATAAGGAATAATACTATTGAAATTCAGAATCGCATAACAACATACTATGACGTTGTTTTTCATACGAGTAATCGTTGCCTGCTCTGACAAATCCTTTTGAGACATAATAAATTATGAAAGTAAGTACAACCATTTAATGGTTGGACCACCCGTGCCAGATGAACTGCGTTTTAGTGTTAAAACAAAGGGTGGTTATACAGAAACTGTTGTGCGGGAAATTTGGAGACTAATCACCAACCTTACATAAAATCTGTACGTTCGTATTTGTTTCCCACTAAAGAGCCGTCTATGAAAAATAAACCATTTATATTATAGTTTATGACAGTAATTGTCAGTATTCGGTGTATAGGGCCTATAGTTCCCAGGTTTCACTGTCTTTGATCTATATACATCTAACCATATACCAATGACGAAATGGAAATTATATGTTGCAAAAAGAAAGATCATTGATGTTTTTTCGTTCTCTTTATAGAAATGTGTAGCAAGTATGATATACCATTAAACGCCTCATCATCACCACAAAACTTGACGTCACCAGGATATCCAGATTATTACCCACCGTATGTAGTATAATAATTTGTATTATTTTACACGGCAGTTGAGCCCTAAATACTTAACCATTGATTGGAAAATATATTCTACTAATTTTATAATGTAAAAATACCGGCATGATATTCAAAGTGTGTCTGTAGCGTATAAAGTTATGTACCAAGGAAAACAGTCATCTATCAAATTGGCGGTTGGCATTTATTTAAAAGGGGATCAGTTTATTTTGCAGGAATGAGTAAAGGTGTTTATAATTTTATTACAGAGATTCAGTGTGTAATTGGTCTATAAGACCCTCATCTAATGAACATCATATTGTTTTAAAAGTCATCAATACTAGATTAGGTCCTCATTGTAATTCCATGCTTAGTACATATGAATGTAAGTATTGTTTTAAATATATACAGCATCAATAATAATCTATACTCCCAAAAAATCCTTTTATATTAATTCTACCAAAAGACGTCTGGACATTTTCTTTTGTTGATCAAATTATAGTAGGTTTCCAAAATATTTGACCTAAATTTTGTATGGATATGTATAATTTAAATGTAATTTATAAAAGTTCAATCTGACTAAAATCATCCGTCAATTCCATTTCTTTTTTGACATCTTACCCATTTCCTTTAAAGCTCAGTCACGTTGCCCATAATAAGATTATCTGTGTGGTGAATTGTGGAAATTTTAAAATCCATGTTTGTCACAATGGATCTGATATGTGCTGGGTTGAAGTATAACTGATTGATATACAGAACTGCCCGTATAAGAACATGGTTTTGATATCATGTTTGTTAAATTATGTAGAAGATTGTAATTTGATTTTTATTAGCTTTATAAAAGTTGTAAATATTTGTTTAGATAATGAAATTCCCAACTCTGATGCCACAGAGTTAATTGGTAGAGCCTGTGACAGTGAAACACCAACGTTTATTAGTAGCCGAGGACCTATGAAGGTTCAGTTTAGATCCAATAAGTTTTGGAATGTTGGTGGTTTCTTAGCTGAATATTGGGAAGAACCTATGCCAAGTAAGTTTCTTTTCTTCATAGAGTTGTATCCTGATTGTACATATAATAAAGGGGGTACTCGATTGAAAATCCCAAAATTAAAGTCTCCCAATCCCACGAATAGGTACATTACAGAGAAATAGGGAATCCCCTACCAGTCTTTTTTGATATCAAAAAAGACGAGTCGGAGATTTTTTTTATCACCCAATTTCTTCTTACACGCACAAATATATCTTGACTATATATTTAATTTTACTGAAACTGATTACATAACGGCGTAGTGAAAGTGATACATTATTTTCTGCTTCTTTCTTATAATTTCGCCTCTAAAGGGAGATAACTTGTTTTGTTTTCTCTTTTTTTACAGCACCAGCAGCTTCTGTTGTGCACAGCAGCAGTAATATACTCAAATCGTGCTATACACATTACTTTATTATTATTATCTGTGTGATCTTATATCATCGGTGAAGTAAGGTTTTATTCATCTAATAACTATCTTTACATTTCTACTTATAATCATCAACAATCTACTATCGGGAAACTTAGTCTTATCTCACTCACAGAAAAACAACAGTGTTGATGTCATCGACGTAATGTACTGTTATCGTCAAAAAAACTGATCACAAATCAAATGCAGTAATGACATCATATATGCATTGGTTTAAATTTCGATGTTTAACCTTTCAAAAACACCGGGTGCCATTTTCCCCCATGCACGGATTTGTTAGCAGGTGACTCGGCCACATGCTATCGTTACCCTATTTGACCAAATTCGATAGTCGGATTTTGTATCTGGAATTCTAGTGCTTTATATTGATTTAGAACACGGGTGTGTGTGTCGTTACCAATATGGAGATTATCTGGATGTTAGCGAGTAAATTAATAGTATGTTGTCACCAATAAAGCACTCGAATACTACCGTAATGCAAGTGAATGTTTTGTGTTTACTACTGCTGGGTTATCTTGTTTTATAATTAGATAATATGTCTGACATTAGCGAGGTACTTTGGTATTATATAGGAGGAAGTGATTACGAAATTGAATTTAATGTTACTATGGAATATCAATACTACCCAAACGAATGGTATGTTACAGTCGTCCAAAAAGCAGTTACGAAGGTTTTGATGTTAACGTCAGAAAAAATGACGCTTTTGAGGTTATCTTCGGAAAATCGGCGATGACGGCTTGCGTGTTAATGGCAGTATCAACCTACTGATGGTGTTAGTGTTAAATAATGGTGTATGAATAGCGGTGATAGTAATTATAGTAAGGAAGAAATAGTTCTAGCACAGTGATCAAATAAATAACATCACACATTGTTTGAGTGTTTATTTTAGTGCTAATCCACCAGAATGACAGTTACAGGAGGATAACCTCTTATTGAATATTACAATCGGAAGAGCAGTGATGTTTGGTTCTAAATTAGCACTATTGAAATATGTCGTGACATTAAATTTATGACGATTCGGTTCAAATTCCACAACACCTTCGTCAAATTCTGTATAAAATGGTGTTGAACGTCCTCCTTTTTGAACCAACTGGGTTAATGACGATGCCCATACGCTATGCCATGTGGGTAATTTTTGACCGGAAAGCGACGTTTCCACCTCCTCTTCACCGAATTCAAGCTGTGAATGCCTCTTATACGTGTATAAATGACCTTGGTATGTCGTTCCTTGCCAGACCCTACATCGCCAACAAGTGGAAAACAAACTGAAAACTCTACAGGAACCTTTCGATAAACATCGCGATGAAACCTGGGTCCTACAGGTTAGTGAGTCAGTACCTTGCACGTCATGACGTTAAGTTATAAGCCCTGTATAACATGTAGCTGTATTTCACCTGACATGTTTGAATTTCTACACATAGCTTGTTATTGTACCACATATTTTTAACCAGGTGAGTTAATTAGGTAAGGGTTATCATATGTCTATGTAGAAAAAAACAAGATTCCTTAAAATATTAGTTCTTATTTTGCATACTGAATATTTTTTGCTTCCAATACGACTGTTTGATGAAGGCTTGCCAGAATATTACCTCATTAATGTTATAACATTTCTTAAAAAGGAAATTGTTTTATTATTTCCTCATTTATGTATTTATCAATGTGAAGGGTCAAAATATTTTTTTAATTAGCGGATAATTTATAAGAAAAATTAATTTGACTAATTTTAATTTTTAATAGGCACAGTTATAAGACAGTTGGGGTAAAACACCGTATTTCCACTAACATCTCAGAAATTACATTATAATTTTATATTGTAGAGGTTCTTTTAAAAAAGAAAAAAAAAATCCCAGGCCATATTTAATCAATCGATATATATATGGAACTGACCTCGATTTAAGAATGCTGAAAATACAGTACACTGTACTTTCTTGAATCAAAGTTAAACCATTAGGAGTATAAAATATTTAAAGAGTTCAGTAACAACAATATTCTACTAGTGCTATTTGTAACAAAGATATTTTCAAGGAATCAAAATAAGTAAACCGGAACCTTTGTGCTCTTTTCTTATCATTTTCATTTATTATTATGAAGTTTATGGTTATGAATTACATGTATGTTGAATATGTTATGTCTTAGAATGATTTCTATCTAGCTCGAAATGGGTCAATGAATTTTATATGTTTGTTTTTTTATGTATAAAAGTTGTATATATATTTAACTGATAATGTATTTATTTAACTCGTCCTCAAAGGTGCTGATGTTTTTTTTTCTTCATATGAAAAATTTAAATACGATTTATTTGTTCTAGAAGTTATTACTGTATATAATATAAAGAGTGTTATTCCCTTTTTGTACATTATTACTTTATTATGTTATAATTGTCAGCTTAAAGCCTCGCTATGCTAAAATAGAGATGACATAATTATTATAGAGATCAAGAGTACTTTCATTAGAAAACATTTTGGTCCAAAATTTATTCAAATTGGTCAATTAAGCTTTGACCATTTAATGTTTAGACTTAAAGGTACAATAACACTCTTGCTGGCTTGACAGCTCCAAAAAATAAAAAATAGCCTTATTCTAAGTACTAGATGTGTTAGTGTCCTACCTGTTGTGTAAATTATCCATTAAATCCTATTTTACTTGTCCAGAGGGTTCAAAAATATTTTTAAATCCAAGTCACATTTAAAAAGCTTTACGTCAGGCTTTTCAAATCATTTAGTTGAATTTTTCCAATTTTTTTTAAATGTGGTGTGTTAAGATGAAATCTGTATCATCAATTAATTGGAATATTGTAAAATAGTGCAATTTGTTGACCAGAATAAAGATTGGGACATATTATTCAGTTACAACAAGAGTGGTATTGAGCCTGTAAGTTTACGCTGTTTTCTGTTAATCTGTAAGCTACATGTTTGTCTCTTTTACACAAATATAGTAATCACAATTATTGTGCTATCTTTTTTCAGCAAGTCAACTTATTGTCCATGAAATTATTTTTACAATCAGGTGCGCTTAATTACATAATATCAACTGTCTAAAATAGTGCATATTTTTGACTTTTTAAATATATGTGAACCATCTGTAGACGAACCTATTTGATTGGGTAAATAAAGGTATTGCATTTGGTTGACCAGATGCGTTCTTTACATCAGTAATGGATCAAACTCAATACGTTTAAACTGTTGTTTTGAAAGATGTCCGTTTTTTTTATTAATTTATAGACGTAAAATTTTCAGCGAGGACAGAATATCACCCCACAAAATCAATACTTTTAGTTTTGATCAGAATCCAAGAGGTCTAGTCATTGGATAGGAACATGAGTATCCGAAATTGACTAAATGGAAAGTTCAAATCTCCACAGAAAGCTCAATTATCTGTGCTCGAAAATTCATTGCTCATAAACATACCCACTCGTAAACAGTTAAATTAGCATATAATAACCTATATTTCACTACTTTCTCGCAAATAGTTAAATAATCTTAGAGTAGTTGCTATTTCTATGAGATAAAATGAACTGAAATGGAAACTTTCCTTATGTTCTATTTACATATATATAATTTTATTGTGAATTGTGTTATTATCTATGTTTATATGGGTTTATTTATTTTTTTTTCATGCATTGTATATATTGTTCAATATGAATTCTTTAAAGGCCAATATTGCTCCATTGCATTTTATATTCACCATAAATAGATGGGAAGTTTTAGATCATCAAATTTAATTGTTTTTTTTAAAATTGAAACTAAACTTTGGAAAGATATAACCGATTGTATATCAGCATTTAAAAAATGAAACATATCGAGAATTTGGGTCATCGATTGAAATAAATGAATTGCTCATTATAAACAGCTAATATGTTTTATTTTTTTGTACTAAACGGGAGAGAGAGAGAGAGAGAGAAATGGGGTTTAACATCCACTCGACACAAACTAGTTCATTTCGGGACTAACACATGGTTCAATTTTATTTCAATAATTCGCTTGCGCGTAGGGGTCTTTAGCAGTGGGAGGAAACCGGAGGACCCGGAGAAAACCCAGGAGGTTGGACAGGCGACCCACCTCCTTGTCACGTACATCCGGGGAATCGAAACCCCGCCAATTGACTCAATGACAGACCGTATGATACAGCGCAGCGGGCACGTGCTAAACATTCAGCCATCCAACCCTCCTGTACTAAACGGACACAGCTCACCAATTATTCCTACGGCGTCACCCTACGAAGTAAGGGCCAACGTTATTTTTATATTTTCTGTCTCTTTCCCTTTTACCCCTTTGTATAACTATCTTTGTTGGTGTAGAATCGAAGAAAGGGGTTTGGATATACATTTTCTGCTAGGTTTTGGCGAATATACATGATGTTTAGGGAAAATGATACGAGAGTTACACATAAATTATGCAAGAGCTAAATATGCCTATTGCAGGTCTTTCTTTAGGCCTGAAATGTTAGAGCTAAATCTGCCTATTGCAGGTCTTTCTTTAGACCTGAAATGTTATCTAAATCATTAATTATACATTAATTTACTTATCCAGACCATAATCAGCTCTAGATGGCATCGCTAGCCTGCGATCTAAAGTGGATTGTGAGCCGATTTACTGCATAACTTTTCTTCTCTATTTAACGATTTAACGGATCATCGAGACTATGCTGTTTATCGTATTGACTTTAGTAATGATGACCGAAGCTAGGCAGAAATTTCATTCGCTTAGTTCTCGCTTCACAGTGGATCAATTTGAATGAAATTTTCAGCAAATTGCCTTTACGTTATCTAGTTTTTAACTATTATAGTGAGAACTGCCAACTCATTATCGAATCTCCCATAATATATCTTTAAGTGGTTGGTTAGGTTGAAATGTTGGGCGGGCAGTTGCATGTTTATTTATATGCTACTTCCAGTTTGTGTATCTCAGTTTGTGTATGAAGCTACCACGAAACTATCCTTTGAAAACTAAATAATAGCTGTATGTAGATACGTGCATTTGGGCACAGTACATCATTAATTTCCCCATTGACAACATAATTTAAATTCTTGTCTCTGACCGGCCTAACTATTTCCTCAAGTTTCGTTGGGTTGAACGCTTTCTACCATGTGACAACGTCTTGTTCAAAAGCATGTATGAGGTTCAGAATGGAAATCTTGAGATACACAGAATGGAAGTAGCATACTAATAACCACGCAACTGTCCATACTACATTTCAACTTAACCAACCGCTTAACGCTCTTATTCTTCCGTCTCACTATATATCATAAGTACTTCCCAAAACTTTATAGAAAACGTACACTCAAAGCCTTTTCTTCGATTCTAGACCAAAAATTAACAAAAATTGCCATAGGGACAGGGAGAGAAAACAGAACAGCGTTACTTTTAGTTTCTATTTCAAACAACCATCTTTAGTGAAATGCAATACTGATACTGTTGATATATTTTTTCGGACAGGACTTCACGTTCTACTTAAAGAGGAAGACCAACGATTTTCAACAGGGTTTCCATAAATCTTAAATGTATACTCAGAAATAATCCCCTCTGTATAACACAGTCAAAATAGTTTTGTAACCGAGAAATATTATGTAATTAGTTCTACACGCTCGCTGGTCTCTATAGTAAGTATACAAAATTGATGTACGTTTAGGATAACGCTAGATCGGAGACATTCATGTAGATTTTAGCACCATATGACGCCACTTGCAAGCTTTCAAACAAACCACGTGATGTAAACAATCATCCATGTTGCGTAAAATATAGGGTCACAGCGTAATGTTCAGTATGAGTGAATTTACGCGACGTTTTTGTGTACTAAACGTTAAACAAACATAATTTCGTGTTTATACTATCCTAACAAACAGTTTTTGGCCAAACGACGACGCGTGAACAAAATACATCGGTAAACTTATGCCAAAGCTGTATGCTTACTTTAGAGACCATCTAGCATGTTGAACCAAATACATCACTTACGGTTTCAATAAAATTTAATTTCTCGCGTACAAAAACGTTTTTGCTTGTAATACAGAGGGGATTATTTCAAAATATATATGTACGATTTTTTAAAATCTTGTTTAAAATCGTTGGTTTTCCGCTTTAAAGACTTTCAAAAGTTTTATTAATATTCCAACTAACAATTATCCGCTTTGCATTAAAATAGTACACACTTTATATCTTTGGGATATATGTCACCCTCCACTACAAAACCATATAAAATATGCAATTCAGCCAACAAATGGCTGAATTATGGCCATCTGGGTTTATGTGAAGTAAACATTCTCTGTGAATCTGAATACCTGATTTATGTGCAGATCAAGACATTCAAATAGAGTACCGCAGTTTTCCATGGGAAAGCATACACTAGCCGAAGATCGTCCTGAGTGACGCGGTGTATATCGTTGAATGTCGGGAGTAAAGCGGACCTTATTTATGAATGTATACGACTATGTCATTTCTTAGTTTAACACATATGACCAGAAAAGAGCCCTTAGATTTACTCTAATTCTAATACATATTTTTGTCAATAAGTGATGTTGTATCTTGTTACAGCCGAGAAGAGATTTGGATGTAGATGATGGTGTTAGTAGTTGGTTAGCTGTAGCTGATATGGAAATATAGTGTACCTAATGTTTTTTTAATGGATTATATCTTCAGTATGAGTAGATTCAGAATCCGGATATCAGTTTTTTGCGTGTCCTAAATCAGCCACTGTATGGAGGTGTAAACGTGGAACTTTAGGTTTGTCGACCTGCTGCCGCACCATAACAGTAATTTCGTCACAAAGCCATCTACATTTTCTACATATAACGCTCTAAAATAAAACAGATTCAAAACAAAATATATTTGAATGGATGTCACCTATCAGAAAAATATATTATGCATAAACTTGAAAGATTACCAAGAAAAACAGAGGAAATTTCTGAATCATCCCTGATAAAATATCAACAACGCAATGAAAAGAACGTTTACAAGGCATTGGTTATCAGAAATCATTTATCTGTTGTATATTTACCTGGCGGCGGTGACAAACTTCCACATTATACGTGAGGTATAAATGTTGTATAGACCTGTAACTCTCAACACAATCAGACAGATGTCACAAAATTCTGATGAATAACACTGATATCACATGACGACGTGATATCAATGAATATGTTGCACTCTGTGATATGTTGTCTAACCATGGTGAGGTAGGACGCCAAACCCATTTCAGTTCATTTCCAACGATGGGGATGCGTGAGGAACCGGGAAACTGCAATTATTTACCCAATCGCATATTATTAGGACAGCAACAGAGGACAATTATCATCTAAATCAGTGCCAGTGCCAGTCCATCGAAATTTCCAGCCAGTTTGTGATTGTGAAAAAGCCATGACTATGAACAATGAACATCTATAGGCACATTGCTTTCTCCCAAAATGTATCGAGGAGGTACATATAATGTTTAAAAACTATAGCCTTTATATTTCTCCTACCGTTCATACCTTGCTTATTATTCTTAATATTCCTAACTCCCAAGGCACAATAATATGTAGCTTTTAATGAAGGGGAAATGGGTATATTGAACTATATTTAATAACAGTTTTAATAAAAGTCACCTACATTAAAGCTATATTCCTTAGAACATAATTAGGTCACTAATTCTACCTTCGAAAACTGCTTTATCTGAAATAATGTTACGAAATTACCCAATAAGCTCACAAAAATGAAATCAAATAACAATACCGAACGTCAACCAGTGAGCCTGCCGTTGGTATCTTAGCCCGTGCGTTACCCGTGACATCGACACTCGGCCATTATTATGTAGCATCATTAAATTTGTATCTAAAAAAAACTTCATTTGAAGTGTAGCACCTCGAAAGATTTTGGGTAACAAATATATTTTCCCAGTAGTTTGAATATGTTTGGTAATCGATAGTTATATTGTTAGGACATGAATGTCGAGGCAATGCATCTTTAATGCCGCGGCAATTGAATTTATATTGAGATGCGACGGAGTGAGAGAAAACACTAATATTATTATGTATACAAGCCTTTAGCAAGAAATAGTATCATCTTGATTAAAAAACAACTAGGCCGGAAACTACAGCATATTTTAATATTCGTCACTTCCTTTGTCTGCAGGCTAGAATAAAAACTGTAAACCAAAGGCAGACCACAATATTTAGAGAACAAACATAGAGGGATACACATTTTTACACCACGACCCGGTGCATGGCGTACTCCCGTTTTCGAAAGCACCGTTGATGAGAAAATAAGGCCGTTTAACCCCATTTCACACATTCCCTATTGTCAGGTTCCTCGTTTGACTACAAATAATTTTCAGAGAAGGTTAGAAGTATGATTCCTGTTCAATTCTATTTAGAAAAATAAAAAGTTTGCGTCACTTTGGTGTCGGTGGACCCCATTGTTGCCTCTGAAACATATGTTTTAATTAACTTCAAATATTTATCCTTTTATCATGTCCCTAAGAAAAAGCAATCACAGACTTCCGTTATTTTTCTTTATTCATTGTGAATTTGTCTGGCTCAGAGATGTATAATTGAACACAGTGTAATAACCATTCCTGGTTGGTTTTAGTCGGTGTCAGTGAAATACCAATTAGATATAAAAACGTGGGATTTCTTTTTTTTAAACAAAAAAAAAAAAAAAAAAAAAAAAATACGGATCAAATCAATGTACCGTAAACACAAGTATTAGAAGGTATATCGCCAGGATATGAAATTTTTGCATCTACGGTAAGGCAACCAAGGGGAATGAAAAAAAACACACACAAAAAAAAACAACAAAAAAACATGCCCGATCGTGACTATTATCTAGCGTTTTCTGACGTATTCTGTCTTAGATTTGGTTGAGAACATTTTGCTGTAAATTACATTTATTGGTGATATCAAGCTATGCCTATACCATTGTTTTATTTAATATGGAGTCTATATCTTAGACATACATTATACAACTATTTGGGTGTAAATAAATTAGTAGTCACGATAATCCAAATATAATGTTGATACATTGGACAAAAACTATGTTTCATTTGGCACTGAATCCAAGACATGAATATCGTTCACACCATACCGTAGTACAATCACCGACTTCTGGTTTGTTTACGTTATCATAGACTAGAAACAGACATCTTCTGCACTTTCTTGTGCCATTGTAATATTTGTGGTTAAGAATTAAAAGAAAATGTTGACATTTCACCTTTGATGTTGGTAATTCACATTCGGGGAGTTCACATTTCTAAAACATTTTATTTGGCTTGGGATCCTGATGGTGACCCATGACCTCGGGTTTATCTTCTACCCAGCCCCGAGATAGAGTACGTCTAGAACACCTGATAACATCAGGCGCGCAAATTATTACGAATAATATAAGAGAGAGAGAGAGAGAGAGAGAGAGAGAGGGGGGGGAGGGGATTTAACGTCCACTCGACATAAACTAGGTTATTTCGGGACTAATATACACTTCAATTTATTTTAACAATTCGCCTGCGCGTAGAAGTCGTTAGCAGTGGGAGGAAACCGGAGGACCCGGAGAAAATCCACGAGGTTGGACAAACTACTCCTTGTCACGTACAACCGGGGAATCACCACGTCAGATGACTCGATGAGAGACCTTATGATGCAGCGCGCATGCGCTAAACATTCGACCTCCCCACACTTTCGGAATAAAATAAGAGTAATGTTTCAACTGTTTGATTTTGGAATAATATTCTCATTTAACCAGAATCACGTGTCTTAAAAGATGACGATCGATTGTATGTACAATTTAATTTTATTGTTGTAGAAAGAGTATGCATACTGTCACCATACGATATCTATACTATTGTGTACCTTTCAGTCAAAATCTAGTCTTAATTAAAAATTTCTTTTCTTTATTTGTTGTCTGATTTTTACAGTGCATTATGATCTAACAAACTTTCTATTAACACCGTACACTTCGCTTTTACACGTTCCATAATTAAAGAAGCATTATGGGAGATTAGATCAAGAGTTGGCAGTTCTCGCTATATGTTTAAATTTCAGACAAATTGTTAGACTCTGAACCGAGATATTAACTTTTGAATTTTAAGCTTAGCCTCGACTATCATTATTAAAGTAGGTACGATAAAAACATAGTCTCGATTATCCATTTTTGAATTTAATCATCAGTGAGCGTTGAGCAGCAGATCGGATTCAAATCCGACACATAAGATGACATCGAGAGTTGATTATGGTTTGGATAAGTTAATTAAGGTCTAATTAATAGTTTATATAACATTTCAGGCCTAAAGAAATACGCGCAATAGACAGATTTAGCTCTTGCATAATGTATATTTAACCACAAAATTTGTCTCTTATAAAAATACAGTCAATTTAATTAGTCAATGAGATCTGAACACCGTCTTCAAAGAAAACATGTCGGATGTCAATATTGTCAATGTAGTACAAGAAGAAGACACCCGTATTTGACTCACACACACACGATCCCGGATACACGCCCACCCTACCTCCTCCTTGATACCAATCAAAACAGGTAATAGACATCCACAGAAACAACAGAATAATAACCCCATACCTGCTCCATATTCTTAACAATTTATTTTTTAACATTTAATTATATTTAAATGATGGATAACTATTTATATCCGCAGAACAATTGATACACCTACGAAGTACGTGCGCAGGCCAACTGGTGGATGTAATTTCTACAGTATCCTGACAGTTATAAATAAATCAAATTCGACTATCATATATCGCGCCGAAATTCTCACGTGTGATTGAATGACTAACACCTCCTACCGCTCTATAAAAAAGCGACACGATTTCTTTAAATAACCAGAGAGGTCAGAACGGCGGTTCTAACTAGTACTAGTGTTTTCTACATATCACGATTAAGCCACCAACAAAAGAGCGCGCAATCTGTTTCTCGAGAATAGCAGTTTATAAATTTTATCGCATTGCAGTTGATCATAAATCCTGAAGGAACCCGAACACATCTGTGAAAGGTAGGATGGATGAACGCCTTTTTTTATTATTAATATGCGCATTTTAGCGCGCAACAGTTAAAATAACTTAATGTTTCTTTGGTTTTGGTTTTTCTTTGATATTATTTTTAAAGTTACTTAAATAAAATAGTTTTAATAGAATTCTATTTTTTAAAATTAAAAGAGACTAGTTCTTGTTTGCAAGAACCACAACATTGAAATACAATTCTAAGTGAATTTTATAATAATATTAATAATATTGGCAATTATTAGCACAGGCGAATTTCTGAGTCATTACGTGTGTCTCCAAAAACTATATTATTTTATAAACTACATATTAATTTTAAATCCATGTAAATCTTTTGTTTTTTTACAAAAAAATATTGGGCCTGGTATAACGTGTAATATGCATGTAATATTACTGATCACATATACATATGTAGCGGTATGCCAAATTAAGGTTTAAATTATGACCTTCAAAGGTCAAAGGTAGAAGAGATCTTTAGGAAAGGATATGCCGAGTAAACGTCCCCATAGGTTTAAATATCAATGTAGTAGCATGTCAACATGATGTTGTGTTAGGCAACCCCACCCCTTTCCTTTACATCTGCCCTATAGATGGCGCTTCTGACCACACATCATCAATATCTGTTAACAAAGCGTGTGAAGTCATCAAAACCAAATTGATGTAAGAAAGATTTGAACCAATTTTGTATATGTTATGTGAATTGATTAGTTTGGTGGTCGCCTAGCTTTGGTTTACTCTGTCATATTCGTTACGGGCAATATCAACATCGCTACAAAATTAAATCAAATCAAGCAATAGTTTGGACTTGGATTTTAGAAGCCAAGTTCTTTAGATATACAAATTAACACCATAAAGGAATGAGAGGTAGTATCTGGTGTTTCTGAAATCTTTATATGCAGTGTCGGGTGTGGTGCAAGTGAAATATGCTTACCTTTCTAGTACACACGATAAAACTTTATAAGTCGACATATCTGACAAATAGTTTCTAGAACATATTTACATGGACAGTTCATATAGTTATCTCCTTTTGTACAATACTTCCTTCAGGCCCAATTAAAGATAACACTAAAACTCTTCTAAATTTGGACGAGATTGTCTTAACTAAATTGCCCAGACTCGATTGTCCCGTTTGATTAGGCTATTTGAGGGAAATGATGATAACCTATTCAATAGATCACTTAACCCACTCAGTGCAACATTTACAGAACAAACAGATTCATATGTGTTCTCTAAATTTCCACCACAGTTCTGTCTGACTGAAATAAATTTCGGCTTTGAAAGCATTTAACAAGTGCAAATATAATTCAGTTTTACTCATTTTTGGGCTAGCGGGAAGAGGAAATTATTTCTAACCCTACATAAATATTTTTGACATTTCCTAACTATTTCGTTTAGCAAAAAAACAACCTGGAGGATATGAATATTGCCATATATGAATAAGTTTTTTTTAAAACTCGTCCTTGGAACCTAAACACGGAGATTTTATCTATCATCTCTATGTTGACATGTCAATGGTTAATAGAAAGCTAAGGGTGAATATTTACCCAGAAATATTATAATGGTAGGGTACACAAGCTACACTGACTGAGTGTTAGCAATATCCCATTGTATTTTGGAACCTCTTCAATTTAAACCAGTTATATACAACCAAGTCATGATGTCTTTAATTTGGGCTGAACACATGGCTAAAACGTGATCAAATAGTTTAGTTAAAATATTCTTTTGGGATACCGGATGTACATCTTGCTTCTTGGGTATTTGGCACATGGAAAAAATTCTGCAAAGCCTCTTTTTCTTGAAGATTAAAGTTGAATCTTGTAATGACGGCATCCTGTATTTGTGCTTCCTTAGTTTGATGTGAATCTTCAAGACTCTGAAATAAATAACTTTATTATAACCCAAATTCTTGAGTGTTAGTGGTTATTTTAAAGTGTCATTACATTAGTGAAAGGCTGGATCTTGACCAGAAGGTTGTATAATGGTCACCCTTCCGTTACACCATATGTCACGGATATTGACAACATACCAAATACCAACTAAATAACAAAACGCCTTTCTCCTCAATATTCTTTTAAGATATTTTAAATCTTCTACCAAACGAATCGTGCTCCTCTCGGCGAAATTATTTATATCCCCAAATAGATAATTGCGGATTTGTGCTGATATGCTTAAACTCCATTTAATGCTGCAATATATTGTCTTCATTTGATTAATCTGTCAGAATCCCACTACCAAAATCACCACACCGTGAAATCATTCTTTCCAACAACGAACATTCTTGTTTCTCCGATTAAGAAATACCGGGAATGATTTACAATGTTTCAGATCAGCAACACTGTTTGTATCAGTGGATTGTTTGTACGACTAAATTGTTTGTACGAATGGGCTGTTTGTATCAGTGGATTGTTTGTATCAGTTGATTGTTTGTACGAATGGGCTGTTTGTATCAGTGGATTGTTTGTAAAATGAATTGTATGTAGTATTAATTTAATTTTAATTAGAGCATTTAATTTTGTGCTGATATTTGGTAAAGAATTCGCAACAAGAATGTTTAAACACAATGTAGTAACGGCAGCCAACGGACATATGTTATAAGTTAAACCCCAAATTGGTATTTTTACATTTCTTTGACTACAATTTAACAAAGCAGGTTTTAAAAGTTGACATTAAAACCAAACTTATAAAAATGACTAATACGGATTCCAAAATAGCGAGTGTCCTGAGAAGCCAATACGATGAACTTGGAAGTTTATTTGTTTCTACGATTCCTGGAAGAAGGAAGCAATATTGTTCTCGTACACCTAGAATATTGAGTTTTTTTTAAAAGGACGGTATCAGTCCAGATGTCTTCATCGCCGGTACAATTACATTTGATGGTTTGAGACATCTCTGTAGTAATTAAATTTGAAAATAATTGTTTTTATGTGTAAATTATTAATTTGGATGAAATAAAATCAAACAGAGTACAAAATATTGGCGGAAACGTGTTATGTATGGAACGAGATTTGGAAATTTTCCCTGTTATGTCAGCCAATCGAATTAAGTGACAATGAAATCGATAAATGCTACTAGTTTAAGTTAGTAATTAATCTATGTAACTGAAAACAACAGGGAATAAAGAATTCCATATGTTTTTTTTAAATGTAGCGAGTTCCAGTAAGTTATAGAATTTGTGCGTCATGTAAATCAAACCTTTAAAATTTCAAATACAGTATAGTCAGTTTTTGTGGTTAATTGCAGCTAGTTGACATTCATACATTTTCTGTTTAGAATTTTAATAAAATACGTTGATAATTCATCCCTTAAGAACTGGCATTAGCAACTTATCTCCCCAGTGTAGATTCACTCTAAATAAAATGTTAATATGTTGTTGGGTGTTTTTTAATGCAAAAGATTTTACGACATTTCAAATAGACTTAACATTGATTCATCCACTAATCACGCGTCCCATGATAAATAGAACGCAAGAAAAGCTAGGGCAGGAAAACGAGTCATCATCTGACATGTCACGTTGTAGCATACATTTTTTATCCAATAGAAAACGAGCGCGCCAAAATAGAAACAGACGTAATGTTAAGTATGTGTACATGAAACAAATGTTATCTATATAAAATGGCGTTCGTTCAATGTGTTTGTCATTAATTCCACCGGTCTCTGTAAGTTTATATATGTTCCCATTTATGTTGAGATAGGGTGAGGCGAACTTTTTTGTTTTCATTTCCGGTAATGCCCGAGTTATTTTTGTTTGGCGGGAATGTTTTAGTTATCACGTTTTGGCGCGAGATCTAAGGTAGATAAAAAATGTGACGTCTCGTACTTCTGGGTCTTCTAGAGGAGAAACAATATATAAAGGCAAGCACTAGAGTATAATTTTTTTCCCTTATTTTTCTTTGTTCTTGATGTAAACAAACTATTTTCGTCAACACCTATACGAAAATATATTGATAACATTCTGGATTGCACACCGTTTTAGTTAATATGCACATTATAATTACAAGTTTACAAACTCAAAACTTATACAAACCTAGTATTTTTGATTAAGCCTGTTATAAATTAATTAACGTTAGTATTTATATTTGTCAATCAGTGATTGGACAACCAATTGAATACAGTGGCGATATCAGATATACGCGCATGGATATGACGGATGAAATTAAACATCAAAGACAACACGATCTAAGGTGTGACGTGGATAATTTCAGATGGCAAATTATTAAAATTATTTATAACAATATTTTTTGTAGCAGTTTAGATATATTACCCAACAGCCAGTATATAAGTTGGTCCCAATTCTAAAACGAATAGACCTATAAACCGCACCACAGCCACATATAATGTTAATGTTTAAATATGTAGCTGGAACGCAACTGAGAACAAGCAACATATCCACTAATCTATTCCACCAGTATATTAAACCAGATTAATACAAATATTTATATCCAGTGCAGTATGTGGCAACCTTCATAACACTTTTTGGAGGTATATTTTATTAAATATATACACTACTGGGTGGTGTTAAATAGAGAATTAGTGGCTTGTGAATACCGTTTAAGGTTTGGGTTTGATATTAGATCAATTAGTAACCAAGCCTGATTGTTTCTCGAAATTACATTCTTTGTGCGATCCATTGATAATACTAAAATTTCTGAAATTGAATGTGTAGATATAATTTTGTTTGGTATGTTCTATGGATGATCCTAAAATGGCTGTATAGAATGAATAGTTCCATGACCTCTAATAACACCACTCCTATTCTAAACTATCCGGCTCATGACGTTTTAACCTACACCTTCAACAAAATTATTCACTGATATGGCATACTTACTCTTTATAGAAATATCACTTTACCATTTCTATGGTCTGGATCAAATAGCCATCAACTGAGTCCGTTGTCAGACAACTACGGTTCCTGAAAGTCCAATGTAGATCGTCTCATTAATGATTAATACGCGATGTGCACGAGACTGAATATGAGAACTCTATAACAAATTTATTTGAAAAAAGAGTCACCCCAAAATCTATCAATTTTGATAAATCATAGGCATAAAGACACATCGCTTGCTGATTTGTGCAGGATTGCTGTTCTATAGTAATGGGAGTTAACTTTCCGAGAAAAAGAAAACCACGAGCATTTGGTAGCAATTCAACACCTTTTGACTATGCCACACCTTACTATATACTCTATAACCTATTGTTTATATGTGACCTATATACATGGGTAATTGGCGAGAGAGAAGTATAAGTACGGGACAACCATCGAGTTTTCATATAAGACGAAATAGTCCTAAGTATACTCAGTAAATTTAAATACATTATCAGTAAACGTTGAAGGTCCAGTTAGCTATAGGTAGTGATGGGTCTCGTATACAGGCAACGAATGCTTTACTCAATACCACTTCTCAGACTTCTCATTCTTACCTAATCTCATCAAAGAGAATACAGTCCTATCTTACGTTCTCTGATCTTGTGTAATAAAGCGTTGTGGAGATTTTAAAGGTGTTAAAAATCAGATTAGATATAATAATAACACTGACGGCCAATCTTGTATAATTAAACTAAAACACGCGACTTATTAAATCAGGATATTTAATCAAGCTCATGACTTTGGGACAATACATGTACTTATAGGGATGTCCGACAGATTTATCATTAGTTGGCTTTCAAATTCGAGTCCCGTCAATCTATTCCCCCAAAAAGCAGGTTTCATAATTTAATATACAAATCGCCTTCAGGGCGTTATTTCATATCAAACCAACTTCAACGGGCATATTGTAACCATCTGGAATACATTCTAATAGTACGAAATATCTTCTAGAGTTACTGTTTAACCCACTATATTGCACACTGTTTCACGCCAAACTGAATACATATTTAGAGACCGAAAAGCACATTGAAGAGCGGAACGTGATGGGGTGGTACTACCCGACCCTAAACGATTGATGTAGTTGTTTTATCTAAAAGCGTATAGTCCAGGTACCTTGTACCTTTTCGGAGTTTGTTCCATCCAAAAAATCGTAAATCCGTGCTTGTGTATTGTATTCTTATTTCAAGTTTTATCTGCACTACTTTAGTAATTCATATGAACAAGGATTAGATCAACACGCATTTTTAACGAGCGTCAAATGTGCGATCTTCTGTAATTTGAAGAGATCTGATATAATTAGCAAAATCATGCAAATGGAAATTTACTATTTTTCTCAAAATATTAATAATTGATTTGATTGTAGGTCCAATATTCCAGAATGAATCACAAATATAGACTTTCAGGTAATGTACATCATTGAAATCGGTCAATTCTAACGTACAGTTCGGATTACTTTCTATTGATTCCACATCGCCATCTTTAATTTCTTGTACATGTTCGATTGACGTCTGAACGATAACCCCTTTTATATCCATGACCATCGAAGCCAAGAGGGTATCTAATCTAACCTAAAGTACACGCCTTTGTTAAATTTAGATAAGAATATTGTTAATTGCCCTTCTATCGTATTGCGATTAAAGGGTGGGTTAAAATAAGTTATGTCATGTTTTCATGTATTATAATTACCAATTGCGATATTATTCTAAACATACCTGTCTCTGCTTGCTTTTACAAACCTGGGGTCGAACCCATGACTTGCAAAGACAACGGGCCTTATGATCTACAGTGCACACATTAGACCATTTGGTCACCGATTCTTAGTTTAAATGTAATTCTTTCCAAGGAAATTGTGGCCCAGATACGTCTTTTAGTTTTACAGCTGTATTTTATTTTGTGCAAAATGGCAATTTTAACCAGAATCTTTATAAAAAATTTAGTTTACATTGAATAAAATAAGACAGAAAACGTATGAAGATCAGATTTGTTGATAGATAGATCACGATCAGAACACGTGATTACCACATTTATTCTTACCAGACAATTGGTCGATGCCCTCTGTCGAGTTAAAGGTTTAACCCTATCATTTCATGTACACAATACGTTTCCAATATCATAGCCATATTTCCCTCTATTCTAGGAATTAGTTTGATTCGGACAATGCATAAGGTCTTATGGCATCCCCTGTACAATTTTGGGGAACATTTACTGATATTTTGTAAAACTGTTGAAATATCGAGCGTATATGGGAGCATTAGTTTTACTCCCAGATTTAAATGTGGTCGCATAATTTCGTCACCTGCACCTGAGACTAATCATTCAGTCGCTTCGTTCATCTGGGTGCTCTGGATTGTAAAATTAATATTGAATCTTTTTAAAATTTATTTCTATTAATAAAACTAAGAGATCCTATCGAATTTCACCGATTATGGAATTAATACACTGTATTATGATGCGAAGAAGCCTGTTGATTTTGAACATTTTCCGATAATTAGTTGTTGTCGTTAATGACTTTGAAAAGTCTTGCAGGTGCTCCTGGGACTAAATTTATGATCTGATGGACATTATTGAGTTATTGCCGTTGTAAGTAATCGTCCAATTGAACTTTTTAAAAGGGAATTTAAATTACACCCCCCCTAATCTTTCCAAGAATATAACATCAAACAAATGATTCTCGTATGACCGTCAGTCTCTAACTTAGCCTTACTAGTGCTTGACACTATCTGAGTAGTAATATAGATGATTTAATGTAAAGATAGATTTATTATAGAATACTATATTTTCTTAACCCAGACATAATAATAAACATTGTTATATCATAACAATGAAAAATAACAAAACCATACCAAACCTTTTGTTTTGTATTCTGCTGTGTAACCTATTATTTTACATACAATACATTATGTTACACTAATCGATGTAGCCATCGTTTCAGGCCAATGTCCATGAACCCCCTAATGGAAGCACACCCGTTATAGTCCTGGAGGTTCAAACCAAAACTAAAAAATAAATTTAGCCATATGACTTAAGCAAATATATAAACATCGTGAAGCAGTCACTTCAAATTTGTTGAATTTGGGGATTTACAGTCAAGTCCAAATCAAAACTGAAAGTTTCTATTTGTTGTATATCAGATGGGCAGGACTATTGTAAAACACGTCACAGAGCTATGGGACTGATCAGATAATTAGGTTGAGGGTTGAAGGTTGAATATAAATACAAAACATTATAAAAGAGAATCGTCATATGTATATCTTATAAACACGGGTTAAAAAAAACCTGTACTCATCATTATTTATCTATTATAGTTATAGTATGTAAAACAAAGCTTGGTTAGTAGATTTGTAGTTTATCATAATTTTACTATCATTATGCGGTTTGGATGCCAAATGACAGTACAGTACTTGGTTCATTGTCTCATTAATTGGTAGTTTCACTTATTAGGCTTTTAGTGTAATAGTTTTAAGTCTTAACATTCTATTTCTAGCTAAAACGTAAACTTAATTTTAAAACACTTAAAGAGAAGAACTTTAGAGAAAATAACTTAATGCATTTTCACAACGAAATGTTACTCTTTATTTCTGAAGCTAGTAGGTTGCTCATGCTCATTATCAATATTGTTAATGACCGCTTCCATCTAACTTGTGTAGTTCAGACTTTGATTAGGTGGTTTTTGAAAAAAGAGTTTAGAGTCAAACTATAACTTTAAAAGGTGAAGTTTGCACTACACACTCCAACAAGGATGTTGATTATCAAGGTACATTTCTTTTGAGTATTTGAGATTTTATTATACATTTATTGGAATATATGAGAATTTCTTAAGGTAGTGTACATTTGTTGGATTTGCTGAGTGGTAGTTAAATAATGTATTAAAATTAATTTAGAACGCGTGCTTTATGAAAAAAAGTCCCGGGTTCGATGCCAATATTGGCTGAGGAAGTTTCTCGGAATTTTCCGTATTAGTTTGAGGTTGGAAGGATAGTCTGGGAAAGAACATCTTCTAGTCGCTGGGATGGAACGAAATACGAGGTTTCGCTGCCATGCACTTAAAAGAAACCGCGACATTTGGAATTCGAAATAAGAGTTGACCGTAGCGCCGTTACAGCTGTCTTTGCAAAGCACACTGCATGTCGTATTACCCTGGTTAGACGTTAAATTCCATTTCATTTCATTTTGTTTTATTCTATGAAACATCATAAGGCATATTCTTTACCTAATTTACTTGCCCGAACCTATATTAACCATACATCATATCACCTCTACCTATTTATATAGTAAAATACTGTATTATATACATCGTGTACGTAACATGTGATGCTCATTACTTAAAGGTCGTGTTTTCTTGTAGAAGTTGGTGATCAACGGTGCTAGAGAAACATAGACACACAGTCGAGATGGTGAGGGAGACGTATGTCGTCCAACCCGGTGGTGGGTAAGTCTACTTTTTTTTCATTTTTTGTGCATTATTTGGAATGGAAATAATAATATTTAATCGTTTAGTAACTTTAGGTGACATATGGAATTTTTTCACTGGATTGAATAAACGCTCACGTAAATGGTGAGGTGCCATTGTTTTGTTGGGAAGCCGGGGTGGGGCGACTATGAAAATAACGAAGCATATGCTTTAGGGCCCTTAATCCCGCTTTCTAATATTAAGTCTACCATGGAGGGGCCCTTACTACGTAGAATGGGAAGCCAGGGGTGGGACTACTATGAAATAATGAAGCCTAATATGCTTTAGGGCCCATAATCCCGTTTACAAATATTAGGTCTACAATGAAGGGAACCTTATGCGTAGAATAGGGAAATTTAGTGGTGAATATCTAATGTACATTAATTTCACTGGGATCTTTTCTATACGGAATTTCACCATTCTTTGATGCATCATGTCTGTATAACATTCCCCTAATTTACATCAGCCATAAAACTAGCATGGGTTTTTTATTCACACCGGTGACTTTAATATCTGATGGGATCCAATACTTTAATATTATCAAAATAAAGCCGCGGTTTCCGCCCCCACCCCCACATCCAAAAAATTACCGTGGGAATATTTTTCTGCTGTTTCAGGGTTTCTGGTAAAGGATGTACCGACAGAGAAAAAATATTTGTATTTCTGACTATTGTGTTTGCCTTGTTATCTATTGCTTTGATCATAGTGTTGGCATTGGAACTGACAGAAGATCATTATTATAGCGGTAAGTGGAATTTAAGTTAGGTAAATCACCTCTTTTATAATATGTCTCATGTTAAAAGATGACGTAGAATTAATGTACATTTAATGTGTCGCATATGGTTGGGTAACATACCATTATTCTGGGTTTATTTAGTGCCGACTTGCATACAAAAAGGAATTTTTATCATGATTACATACAGCACCGTGGGGGTAGTTTAGTGCGCTATGTAAATCGTTGTATTATTATGATTAAAGTGAATATTATATTCATCGCTGTCGCGATATTAATACGCCTCAAATATCAAAGTTCCTTCGAGAATAAGAAGACACGTATCTTCTTTAATAATACTAAAATCTATTAACTTTGATCAGTCTTACGTATTGCATGTATGGAATTGCAAGTATTAACCATACTGTTAATAGGGATCCAAATGTTATAGAGAATGTTTAATCCAATATGGATTAATGATTATAATTACAATGTTATCTTATTCTGAAAATGAATGGCCATAGTTGAATTTATCTAAAACAAGTTGATATATATTTGTATATTGTGAACATAAGAAATATACAACGACATGCGAATAACGGAAATTTATTCTAACTTTACAGTGTTTGTATTAAATATAGGCCAACATCTGCAAAGTCAACTGTAAAATCTTATTTATCTATATAAATATAAATGATTGTTTCTACAGATGTATTTATGATACCACCTAAGATTGCGTGGGAGTCATTAATTAATATTATATTCAGAATGATTTCAGACTTCTATAAATACATCGAGTCACATGTGTTCGCCCTAGTTTCTAATAAAAGCACCAGCATTTGTTGGGCACCTGGTTTAAGAGAAACCGTGTTTCCATATCAACATGTATTGTATTATATCTTATTTTATCAACAGAACGTTAAATTAATATCAACTGTTGAACGTTCATATTACTTGTCTATGTGGGTCGGTTACTGGAATCTAGACATTAGCAGAAAGGCGGTTTGAGTTCAAGCGGCTTTTATTGTAAGAATGTAATATCCCCATAGTTCCATTGAAATAATAACTACAGTCCTCGGGTGTATTCTAAATAAAACCATTGAATTTTTAGCTTTTCATACGCTTACATGTACATTGGTCGAATATAACCTTCGTATAGGGCCTCTCTGTTCTCCCAGTCCCCGCCTGTAAACAACGACGAGGCTCCATTCAAATATGTATATTATGTCCTTTACATTAGCCTGTACCAAAGCCTACTGATTTATGATAATGAAGTCCAAAGTATCTTCCCTTGTTCACCTCGTAAACGCCCAAACTACAAAAGTTAGTATCCAGTCTGCTTGAAATGTAGATAATGCAATCTAATATAATCTATGTTTCTTTTATCGCAACTAATTATTAAGTCTAACAAATTAAATTTCAATTGGCCAATTTATTCGTCCATGGTTCTGTGATGTGAATCAGTATAAAATGTCTGCTTTTCACCTACCTCAAAGAACTCATAACGCGGCAATCATTGTGGGCATAGGTTGGGCATCTGCCTGGCAACCTATCTTTAGTAATTTTGAGAACCCAAATTTGCAAACTTCTATATTTAAGGTGTTTCCCTCAAATACAATATTACGATATGCCTGCTTGAAACCGTTCATATACAAAGTAAATTGGCAGAATTGTCAGTTTATTGAATCAGAAGTTCACGACTAAGAATTTTCCTTGTTCTTAATTCATATTTCGGGATGTTTGAATTTGTTGACATGAAATCTGTTAAATTTAGAACTGGAAATATCGGTATACGCTTTTAATGTTTCAATCGATTAAAGGTCAACTAACCCAAATCCATTCCTAAATCTATTAACTGATTCAGACATTTCAACAACCTGTAAAAGTCTTTCTAATCAAAGTCTTTGTGTTAAAAACTCCCACAGATAGGCAATCACCAAATGTTTATCAGTTCCTGTTTTCAAATATGGCATGCATTGTATAAAAGAGAATATTTTACCCACTCGTGAACTAGTTCGTAATTTACATCCTGATATTATTTAGAACAATGTATAATCATTATTTGTAGGTGATCCAGAAAGCAGAACATGTATGGCTATTGAATGTGTGAAAGATTGTAAGTACAAATAATACACCATTTTAATAAATATAAGACAGTATATTTTAAATAAAATTCAATACAGTATAGTCTAATCTATATACAGTGTGGTATATTCTAAATAAAATACAGAACAATAAGGCTGTACTAATTAAATACAGTATGGTATATTCTTAAATAAAATAGAGTACACCAAGGTTGTACTTAGTAATTACAGTATGGTCTATTCTAAATAAATTGTAGCGCAGTTAGATACAGTGGTACTAATTAGATACAATGTGATCCAATCTATATAAAATAGAGTACAGTTAGGCTGTACTAATTGAATACATTATGGTTTAATTTATAAAAGTACGGTACGATAAGGCTGTACTAAATAAATACAGGGTGGTCTATTCTAAATAAGATACAGTACAGTTAGGATGTACTAATTAAATACAGTATGGTCTAATCTACATACAATAAAGTACAGTGAGACTGTACTAATTGAATACATTATGTCAAGTACTGTATATATAAAGAGAGAGAGAGAGAGAGAGAGAGAGAGAGAGAGAAATGGGGTTTAACGTCCACTCGACACAAACTAGGTCATTTCGGGACTAACATATGGTTTAATTTTATTTACATAATTCGCTTGCCCGTAGGTGTCTTTAGCAGTGGGAGGAAACCGGAGGACCCGGAGAAAACCCACGAGGCTGGACAGGCGACCCTACTCCTTGCCACGTACAACCGGGGATTCGAAACCACGCCAGTCGACTCAATGACAGACTTTATGATACAGCGCGCGCACGCTAACCATTCAGCCATCCAACCCCCCTGTATATATAAAGCACGGCACACTGAGACTATACTAATTAAATACAGTGTGGTCTATTCTAAATACAATACAGTACAATTAGGCTGTACTAATTAAAATACAGTATGAAGCGGTACTAAATACAGTATGCTCTATTCTACATCCGGCTGTACTAATTAAATACAGTATAGTTTATTCTTTATAAGATTGTCCTTATTACATGCTATACGGTATCTAAATAAACAAAGTAAAGTAAGACAGAACATTATTCTAATAAAACATAATGAAAAAAGAGATGATGGTATGATTATATTATTTGGACTCGACAGTCAGTTTTATTCAAAGGTGCCAGTTTCTCTATACATTTACCAGAATCTTTAAATTCAAACTTGTGGAAGCCGACCTGAAATTTAATTACCCACTCATATTTTAACATTCGTCCTTTTCTTTTTCAGCTGCAGCTTTGTTGAATTCTATAGATTTTTCTGTAAATCCATGTGATGACTTCTATGAATATTCCTGTGGTAATTGGATAAAAAATCATATAATACCAGAAGATAAATCTTCGTTTAAAAGATTTGAAGACACCAGAGATAAAGTTGATCTAATGTTAAAAGGTGAGATTAGTAAATAGACAAAACAGTGTGCTTATTCAATGGAATAAATGAATCACAAGTCTCAATGTTACCTAAATACGTGTAATGAAACAATCTCCAGAGTCGCAAGACAGCAGCTAGCCGAACGTTGAAAATAATCTTAGTGTCAAAATGATAAAAACTAATTCTATATCATTTTTAAATATATGTGCTTACATACATAAATTTGGTTAATTTCTTATCGTTGTTTCATTACCATCCTTAAAATAACTGACATTCACTTCTTGTTTTTTTTTCAGCATTACTTGAAACACCAATTTCTAAAACTGAGAGTAATGCTACCAAGAAAGCTAAATGGCTTTATAAATCATGTTCAAATGAAGGCAAGACATTTTATAAATTAGGATAACTGTGGAGATCGTGCTATACTTTCCTCTTTATGAATGATATTTTATTTTAAATCAGTATGTGTATTGATGGGTGTTTAGCTGGAAATAATTATCATTTCTTCTTTTACTGGACTTTTGAATTCAAATTTTTCAAGCTAAATCATGGATTTATGTCCAATCTTATTTTTCTTCATTTGCCAAAGCCTAGTGAAATGTCCCATACTGTATCCGCTTCGATGAAGCCGGAGGCCTTATGGTTTTGCTGCTTACTGTCGGTGTACACAAAACATCTATGGATAGTTGAAATGCTGTTCAATAAATATAGTGATAACACAGTCCTTAGAATCTTCAATTACATTTCTATATACTTCTTTTAAAAATATCCCATTATTAGATATTGCACCAAATGCAAAATAAATAGCACCATGATTTTTTTTAATAAATGGGTTTTCTTGAAGTTAGTTTAAAATTTCTATATTCAACCGTCTGGTTTACTATAGCGAACAAACTTAACGTTCTCTTTTATACGTAGAATTACATACATAATGTAGTATTTCATCCAACAAATAAAAAGATAAATATTTTAGTACATTTGTTTTTTTTATCAACTATTTAATGTTTTAAATATTTTCTTTATTTTCCAGAAGTCATTGATCAGCGTGGTTTAGATCCTCTAGGTCCGCTATTTAAAGATTTGGGAGGTTGGCCAATAATAACACCACAATGGGATGGTAGAAACTTTGACATAGAGAATCTCTTGATAAAACTTCACCAACTAAATACAGATTACTTACTGAAGGTCACAGTTCGACCAGATGAAAGAAACTCGTCAAAGAATGCAATCGTTGTATGTACTACACGTTACGATAATAATAAGAAAATATGTCGCAACTAAGAGTAACGGCACCGTAGAGGTGATGCGCCAACGGACTTGAAATTGATGTTTTCATTCGAAGACAGCCATATCCAAAGCCCATAAGCCAATTATCCTTTTATCTGATCGGTGCTATAATACAATTATTTCTGTTGATTGCATCTAATCATACTCCAAATCGGGTATTTCGCACCAACGCAATGTTTTCTTTGCCATAAAAGGTAATAGTTGAAATTTGTGTGTCAAATTGTTATTGGCCAATGACGTTCCCATTGATCAATAAAAAGCACGTAACTTGGAAATCTGAATCAACTATAACACGTGTGGATACGAGGAAGTTTCATTGACTTGGTAGATTGGAGTAAGGTAATCCATGGAAATCCGAACATTTCCGAGAATATGCTCAGTCATTCTAAATATTATGCATTTCCTTTATAGCTTGATCAAGGAAGTTTAGGATTACCATCAAAAGATTATTATTTAAAAGACCGGGATGATAAATATATATCTGTATATGAACAATTGGCGCGAGATTTAGCTAGAATGTTTGGTGCTGAATCAAGACTAGCTGCATCTGAAACCAGAGAAATGATTGACTTGGAGATAAAGTTAGCCAATGTACGTAGATATTTATTATAATTAGATTATTATTGAACTAACAAAAAAAAATTCCTTTGTTAAAATTGCTATTTAAATCGACGATATATGGTCAAAGGGGAGGTAATTATAGATTGTCTGTGTTCAACTGAACCAAGAATGTAGTTTGAATTTTTAGTCAATTAGAGGTGAATGTTCATGCTAAAAGACAGGAATTAGTAAAATTACCCACCAACATGACGTCATAGACTCCTTTGGCGTAGAATTAAAGCGAGACGGTTTATCTCCTTCAATATGATATGTTTGGCTCTTTATCGTTTTGTAGATTAAATGTTATAATCCAAGGAATAGAATGGATTTAACTCTGAAGACCATGAGGGTGGGGGTTATTTCTAGTCTGAAAGCAACTGGCGTAACTTCCTGATTGGACCGTAAGGTAACGAACTAACCATTTCATGTTTTGATGTTCAAAAATACTCAACTCTATGATTTATTAATTTTCAGTACACTTCAGCAATAGCTAGTAGAAGGGATCGAAATAAACTCTACAACAAAATGACGGTTGCGCAGTTGAGAAGAGATATTCCCTGGGTAAGTCTAGAAAATATACTTTGGGAGTTTTTTATCCAAGACAATGGTTCATCCTAAATAGCGATATATTTGATACTATACAAGTCATGATGTAAGGTAACAGTAGATAATCTCCCAGCTTTTATTCAGTCGGATTAAAAAGAGGCACATCAAAAGATTTACCCAGCACTCATTGGTGGCGCTGGCTTGTTTATATGATCTGCAGAGGATGTCCAATGTTTTTAAGAACTGTCATAATGAACAGAATTGAAGCATTTTGGACTGATATTTCCGTTAGCGATTCAGATTTTACAATAGTGTAGTATGTAAGTTTATAAACAATCCCTAAAATCAAGATCAGCTATTTTAAAAGACATAGAATTTCAAAACTAGTGCTCCATCCCATTAGATTTACAAATACTGAGTTATCAAGTTGTTATGGGGTAGTTAATTAAATTAAAGTTATTTATGTTTTATAGTTTGATTGGAATAGATTGTTAAATGGTGTATTTAGAGATGTAGATATACCTATACCAGACTGGACACCTATTGTAGTTTATACTCCAGAATATCTTAAAAATATGGTACGACTTGTTCGCAATACTTCTTCCAGGTACAGTTTATTTAATTTATGTGTTTAATTAAGCCTTTGTTTACATACGATTTATGTTTTTTATGCGTCCATATCTCATGATTGCGACTGTTGATTATCACCATGGAATTTAGTCTAACATTTAATTTCAGAAAGATTTTTTATTCTTTAAAAAAAAAAATGATGTTATAGATCATTTCAGTATACATATACTTTATTCAACGTTTCTATAATTAGGACAGTAGCTAATTATTTAATCTGGAGATTATTAAAGGATAGATTATCAGATTTACCCGAAGGTTATCGAGCTGTAGCCAGAAATTATAACAGGGTAAGTAGCAGTTGTCTTCCTTGATCTATATTAGTTTATAGACATGTTCAATAATTGTGTGTTTTGACAACAAGTGTAAAGTTGTTCTTCCTACTTCAGTTGTTAATGTTATATTGTAGAGCTGAGAAGGCTTGTTGTTTTATTTGTGATAGCTTGAAATTCCTATGAATGATGATTTATCATTTCACGCAAAGGTGGATTTGGTTTCATGAAAATAAAAAAAACCCAAGTGACGGGTTTTACAACATTTTTATATTTAAAGACAATCCTTGGAAACAAATGTGTATTTAGATCATGTTATTTTTTTACTTGTTTGGCTATGTTGACCGTACCATCGGTCAAACAATAATATGAGTTAGCCTTGTTGCATTACCTAAATGATTGAGATTAAACGCCATGATGACTTTCGCTCGTTGGTAAAATAACTATCGAGTTTGATCACGATTGCAAAGGACAATTAAAGTTCAGTTAATACCAAGAGTAACTAAGGTAGTTGACAATCCTATAGGATACTAGTATTCTTTGAATAAAATGAAAATTATTATGATTGTAGGTTGTTTTTGGTATTAAGCGGGAACAACCAAGATGGAAGATGTGTGCTGAGTATGTCAAGAATACTTTAGGTCATGCTGTAGGAAGGATGTTTGTAGAAAGATATTTTGATGAATCATCTAAAGATAAGGTATGGTCAAAAATAAAATAATTAAATCTAAATAATACAACAAAGCGTAAACCGCTTTTGTTTACGAACAGTAAATAATGGAAGATGAATCTGTGTAGGCTTAGATATATAAAATAAATGTTTTAACTTTGATAATATCGATATATACGTTTTATTGTAAATTCTTCACGACTAAATATGGATGTAATAATATGTTCTATCAGTTATATCATTAGTTATATTATTATCATTAATTATTTTTCTATCATTACCATCATTAGATATATATATATCATATTTTTATTTATATCTTATCATTAGTTATATTTCTATCATTACCACCATTAGATATATATATCATATCCTTATTTATATCATATCATTACTGATATTATATCATTAGTTATATTTATAGTTTTTTCTTATTTTATTTTAGTCAGAGGTTATGATCAAATATGTAGAGAAAGCTTTCAATGAAATGTTGATGGAAGCCGAATGGATGGACAAAACTACAAAGGAATATGCTCTGAAAAAGGTATGTGAAATCAATTTCTGAATTTTAATAGTGTTTATGTAAATTTATTTTGAGTTTTAATATTGTTTTTACTTACAGACACTAGTATAGCCCGTTCAGACGCTTATGTTGAACTGGTTTAAAAAAACCGGGGGTCGTTAAACTAGTTTAACTTGTTCGTCTGAACGCAAATGTGGGGCAAATAAACCAGTTTAAAACCCCCAGCTCCCGACCTGTCTTCGAGAAGGCTTTTTATTTTAAACTGGTTCATCTTGGCCATCTGAACGGGTTGGCTTAAAACCCAATCTGTTTCACAGAGAATTACGAGTCTATTGTAGCGGCCTAGCAAATATTCACTGCGGATCAGTGTGCTTAAAACCCCCCGGCTCCAGCTTGCTTTGAGCATGCGCAGTACGCAGTAAGTTACGTTCTTGGGAAAATGTCAGGGTCAGGCAGTGTCAGTGTTATCGAAAGCGTGCAAGAACCGAATAAAGAATATGAAGCTACCCATGTGTAGTTAACTCTAACCTCCAACCGAAGAGGTCAGAATAATTAAACTGGTTTGGCTTATTGCCCGTGTGAACGCAAAACGATTCTGTCTAAGAAACCGTCTGAACAGTATATAGGAGAAAATAATGCGACACGTCTGAGAAGATCTTACACTAACTTTTTGATTTTATAATTCCAGGCTGATAATATTATTAAAAAGATAGCATATCCAGATTGGATACTGGATAATTATTACTTAAATAAAGAATATCAAAAGGTGAATATATATACTGCCATACCAGATTGCAAATAGAGTTAAGATCACACAGGGTCAAGGTGTACTTTTATTTAAAAATTATTTGCGTTCACATATTATTCAATCTGAAGTTATATTCATTTCACTATAAAGATAGTAATAATGTTTTGGTTTGGTGTTTAAAACAATCCACGCCTATCAAAGTCTTTTAATAACTCATATATTTTTGAAATTTGTGAATGGTCTTGTTGTGGCTTTATAGGATAAAATGCATAACCTTTTAGCAGGTACCACTCTATACAATATTCGTATAACTATAAATCTTATATCTATATCTGATATGACTACCTCTATATAAAATGAATTAGCTGATATGACTACCTGTATATAAAATGAATTAGCATGCAGCAAATGCAGATGACATTCGTTTTTGGTCATCAGACGGTTGATGTGTAATTTATTTCAAGCTAACTGTAAAGTAGTAAACGATATTCCACCCTCGTAGAGTGATAGCAATTGGTTGATTACCCAGGCCTAAATCTTAATGGGGAATAAGTCCTTCTACTGACTGGATTAAACCGTCGTCGCTATGACGCATTAAGACGATTGCTTCCCCCTCCACCCCCTGGAATTACGGAAGAATGTAGCAATGCCTATTGTCATCATTTGATCAAGTAGTTAATACGATTTTATCGAAACCTGGGCTCCTTTCAAAACTATATATCCATAACTGAGTTTATCTTTTTTTATGCTTAATAGGTGAATTACAATCCAGATTATTATTTTGAGAATGTCGTGGCATCTTTAAAATTCCTGACTAAGAAAAATCTCTTACAGCTACGCGAATCTGTTAACAAAACAAAGTAAGTTAGACTACAAATAACTAATAATAGCATGGTAAAAAGTGTGAAAATGGCGGCTATACGCACCTCTTTGGTTTGGGTCAAAAATACTATCATCGATTTCATTGGATTGTCGTCCATGGAAATATTACTATTTTTGGCTATAGATAAAGCCAGAGTTATACAATTATACAGTAAACAATCCGACTTTCTCTTAATCTTTAGAAACAAACACTTAAAGATGAATTGTATAAGGGCTAAACCTGCCTATTACAGGCCGCGTCATTAACAGTTTTTAAATTTTTAAATGGATATCCGAGATGTTGTTTATTATCTTCGCAATGGGACTTGACAATCGGAACTATTTAGACTAAATCTTATCAAAACTTTAACGCCCACTCGACACAAACTAGGTCATTTCGGGACTAACATATTTTTTAATTTTATTTCAATAATTCGCTTGCGCATAGGGGTCTTTAGCAGTGGGAGGAAACCGGAGGACCCGGAGAAAACCCACGAGGTTGGACAGGCGACCCTACTCCTTGTCACGTACAACCGGGAATTCGAAACCGCGCCAGTCGACTCAATGACAGACTTTATAATGCGCGCACGCTAACCATTCAGCCATCCAACCCCCCACTTAAGAATAAAATAGTATGATCTAATCTTGTTTAATATACTTACTTTTCATCATCTATTTGAAAACTATTATACTAAGAATGGTCAGTTCTTTATCTACATCATACATAATGCACCTTTAATCGTGTGGAACTAACAGATGAACTAAATAGTGAATAAGTGCTAAAAGTGTTCGATGACTTTCATCAAATTTTCTACAAACGTTTATTTAGATGCATTGAGCTTATGGGTCATGGCGCCTAAGTGGGTGGACGCTGACTCGCTAGCCTGTTCGACCCCTGCATTGGCCGAGAAAGTTTATCCAGATTTTCCGACGTGGTTCCTCCATGATAGTGATGCAGGACGGATGACCTGACAAGGACATTTGCTTAGTCGTTCGGATGGGACGAAAAACCAAGGTCCTGTGTACACATTGGCGTGCACGTAAAAGATCCCTTGACAGTTGGAATTCGATATAAGAGTAGGCCGTAGTGCCACTGTCCGGGCAAAATTTCCCTTATAGCACACTGTATGGCGTATGCCCGTCCTCGTTAGCCCAGTTCGGAGCAGAACGGTAGGACGTTAAACCCCATTTCATTTATTTATTATTATTATTATTTTTTTTTTTGTTTGCTACAAAATTAATTTTTTTTTGATAATATATGATATTGGCTATTCACCTCTACAAACCTGTTCATAAGCACGTATTCGCTGTATTGTGATTACAGACTTAATCAATCCCACATGTCGTTGCCAATCTACATATGATCTGTGTACAACCTGGCCATTTCTTTGTCTACGATATCACCCTTGGTGGAAAGTGGACGTTAAACTCTAGAAACGAGCGAACGACAATAAGACAGACTTGGTATAGATTTCCTTCCGACTTATGTCTATTTCATGTTCGCAATAAAGTTCATATTATTATGCTGATGTTCTGTTATCTGTTTAGTATTACACAATTCAATACTTTTTGATCTAAACCAAAGAGGTGTAGCCCCTTTAACGTTATGAAATTCAAATGTGACATATATTCATTTATAAAGAAGTTAAAAAAATACCCCCCCCCCCAAAAAAAAAATAAAATAAATAGTGCACAGAGGGCCAGATTTCAAACTCAAGTACAAATGTAAATCTAGGGCTCTAAGCAACACAGATTTGTTATCACTGTTAAAAATAAATGTAAAATTACAATGAAAAGGTATTTTCCTATGTGCACCATTATGGATGATGAGGACATACGTGTTGTGCCCTGGGGCCTACTGTTTACTGTTATTTCGAGTTCGTACAAAGCGCAAAACCGAGCCCATCATAATTGGAAATTGCAGAAGAGTTTGGGGAAAACGCAAACTTCTACCAAATCGCAATGCTCAAATAACCACAGAAATAAAACCCACCAAATGTTTCTTTTAAAATGACCGAAGTATTATGTTGACGAGAGACATTAAACTCAATTCTATTCCATGCTGTGGCAATCCTTTTCACATGTTTTTTTTTATTATTCAAGATGGACAACAACGCCAGCAGTAGTAAATGCTTATTATCAAACAACAGAAAACGCTATCAGTAAGTCACATTAAACTTTAGTTAGTAACGACACTAAATATAACATCCTAGATTGTATTTTTTTTAGCGAACCGCCGTTGAACAGTCAGTGCTGTATTTAGATGAGGCTCTAAGCTATATAAAGCCTGAAGCCCTCTTGTTACAAAGTTACACTAGAAGGTCCTAAGGTGCGTACAAAAACAGGACCGTGAATATCGACAAAAAATTAAAAACAGATAAAAACAAAAACAAAATATAAAATATTATGGGCCCCATGTCCGCTTTAATGGATGGCCATGTCTTCCAAACTATGTAATATTGCTCTACCACGGTTTGATAATTAGTCTGGCGAATCATACCACCACTTTGTTAGTCGCCCTGGTCTTAGGTCAAATTATTGGAGGAGCTGAACATTATGAGAACTGTTTTATATCCAATTTCATGAACCTTTTTATCTTGAAAGATTAGAAATATCAATAATTAACACCACGTTGAGATGGGGCCGGCAGTTTGTTGGTGTTGACTAGGAACTTTATTGTAACACTCATGATATCAAGAATATTTGCTAGCGTGTGCACCAGGTCTTGCTATGTTCCTGTTTATCGACTTGCCACCCTACAGAATATCTTTATTGTTATTTCGGCGTTCGGGGACCACGGTGGTCCTATGTTCGACCCCTGCTTTAGCCGAGAAAGGTCATCGGGATTTTCAGCGTGGTTCCCCCTTGTCATTGGTGCAGAACATAGGGTCTGGCTAGGGACAACATACAGTCGATGGGATGGGACGAAAATAGCCGAGATCCCGTGTACACATTGTTGTGCACATAAAAGAGCCCTTGGCAGTTGGAATTCGATATGAAATTTCCCTATATGACGTATGCCCGTTTTCATTAGTTGGTAGTCCAATCGAGGCAGAACAGTTTGACGCTAAACCCAATTTCATATCATTTCATTTATTTCAGCGTTCCCTGCAGGTATACTCCAACCTCCTTTTTACAGTAAACATTATCCTATGTAAGTAATATAGTAATTATTATGGGAAACACCATGGGTTATATTTTCAACTAAACGATAACGTAATTTTAATTTTGACTCAAAATGTAAAACTAATTACTAAACTGAATGTTATGGAAACCAGAAGTGTTATATTTCCAATTATTGATAGTAATGGTACCATTTAAAATCTAGACGTTACTCGTTCAGCATATATTTACAACCTGCTACCCCAGAAACATTACAAACCCATTTAGAGACACCTAATATAATACTGTTTATTTATTTTTTTAAAATGGTTTAATTACAGGTCCCTAGTATTTGGTGGGATTGGAATGGTAATTGGACATGAAATAACACATGGTTTTGACGATGAAGGTACGTTAATTTATAATAATATTCTTACAAATTACAGTACCGGAAAATTTGTTTCTCAACAACGTGTATCATTTATTAAAAACTGTGTCTTCGTACTAATATTCTTAAATGAAAGATGAGTAACCTATTTCCAAACGATTACAGGCTAAAAATATTTAGTTATATTTTATGCATTGTTTTCAGTTAAAACTAATAGTTCATGGGTTTTTTTTAGCTAAAACTTATATTTTATGTAATGTTTTTTTGTTAGATTTTCAGACTTTATTCATTGCTTTTAATAAAAATTGAGATTTTATGTTTTGTTTTCAGGAAGACAATTTGATGATCAGGGTAACTTACGACAATGGTGGACAAGAGAATCACAAAGGAAGTTTACTGAATTAGCCCAGTGTATGATTGATCAGTATTCTAATTATTCGGTTAACGGGGAATATGTAAGTGAACCATATATATAACACCAGATTATATTTGTAATTATAACAATACATCGAGTCCTTGGAACATGTTGGCGTATACACGATGTGACAATAAAAAAACTGGAATTGGGTTGAAGAGACTCGACTACACTTTAAATAGCTCATTTTGAGACAAACGGTTATTTTTATCTTCTCTGATCTGGTTACGTGTGCAGTGGGAGGGGTTGGGTGGGGTATACTTTCTGCCTATTGTTCTTTAAACATTAATTTTGAGGTAAAATATAGGCAAAGTCTGAATTAAATAGCGCTATAGTATGCCATTCTATTTTAACAGAGATTTATGAGTAATACATACCTGTTTATATTGTACTAGGTGAGAGGTAATCAGACAGTCGGTGAAAATATAGCAGATAATGGTGGCGTGAAGGCAGCATATAGGGTAATAAATATACCATTATTATACATTATAGTGTTATTTATTATGAGACGTATTTGAATTATTCGTATAAAAATATCATTCATTATCAGTATCTGGGCATGTCTTATATATTTCCCTTTTCACATTTTAGGCATATCACGAATGGAAAGAGGCCGAGGAGTTTCAATATGGCCGACTTCCGGGATTGAATTTAACTGCCAATCAGCTTTTCTTTGTTAATTTTGCTCAGGTGGGTAACACTGTGGTTTTTATAGTAATGACCTTATAACACATTAAATCTGATTGAGCTAACAAATTTCCAATGTTCTGGAACGTGGAAAAGGGGGATTGTTGGGCATAACCACTGGCCCAGAGGTTTCATACATAATTATCAAATTACTACGTCCCTGTTTGGATTTTAGCGTTACAACTCTGGTAAGATTTGGACCAACAGAAGAATCAATATCCCTGTTGTTTTCCCTTGAAGCGTGTAAACGCGACACAATAAGTACTAATAAATAGAAATCGTAAAATAAAATTTATACTACTGGGGTTCTTCATTTTGTATTGCTATGGCCAAACCACAGATGTATGTCCCCAGACATGTTCTAACACAGAAACATAACAAAAACAAGTGCTAATAGAGAAGTATGAACACCATATACCATTGTTTTCAATTTATTTTTATAGGTTTGGTGTGCAGTGACGTCACCAGAGGCAGATAGAAACCAACTCCTCACTGACAGCCACAGTCCAGGAGCTTATAGGTATGAAATATAAATGAGATAAACTGGATTAAATTCATAAGACTCGTGGTAATTTCCATTGGCAGAAGTATGGTTTTCTTATTTCAGGCCGCGTATCTAATATGCACAATTTTGCAACTTTATTATAACCGAACGTCCATTTAACCAAGAAAATGAGTTGAAGTTATCTGATTGAAAAAAAAAATACATGTTACTGGAATTGAAATTTCAACCAGCCAAATATAGTTAATACTAGTCTGATTTAAAGTTGAAGATTCAGTAATACCACTGTTTTCACTTAAGATTTTGCGTAATGGATTTAAACTATTATCACTGATAATTTTTTCTAAGTGTTACTTTTGTGTAATGGATTTAAACTATTATCACTGATAAGTTTTTCTAGGCGTTACTTTCCTTTGTACTTAGAGAAGCAAAACAATTTTGATTTTATACTTTTATCTATTTACACAAATCAATGACACCTCTTTAAGGGCAGACTATAGATGTAGAACTTCGGGTTTAACCAAACGCATCAAACTGGTAGAGAACCCCCAATATGCTCATGTACTGCCTGAAGAGGTATCCTACAGACTGCCAAACAAGGAATCGAGACTTGTCCTTAGTAAACCCATAAAATATTTATGAATATTTGGTCTTTAATTCTTTATTTTTTAAAAATAATTTCAGGGTTATTGGCAGTTTGTCAAATAATGAAGACTTTTCTAAAGTATTCGAATGTCCGTTAGGGTCAAGGATGAATCCGGTGAAAAAATGTAAAGTGTGGTGATCGGTTGATTATTATCGATCAAAACAATATGGAGGCGAACATTCCAAATATACACCAATTAAAATGTGCCTTTTAAATCACACGTGACAGAGACAGAGATGGGTTGAAAACGTTCATTACTGAAAAAAAAAAACATATTATGTAATATCTGGGAGAAAATATCACAAACATGGATGAGTGTTTTGTTATTTTGTGGTGCGTATATTGACTTAGATAAAGTATAGTATATATACATATTATGTAAAATTAGTATATAATAAGTTTATGTTGTAAATATATGTGTTGTCTATGTGGTCTAGTCTTGAATGTGATATTTTAACAGATAAATAGCCAATCGAGAAGACATGATTGTGTAACTTTTGTTTTTTCCTCCCTCTTGGGGAAACTGTTTATGAAGACGTAACAAGCACTGGCTGTGTATTGATATATAAATTAAATAAAATTTATTTAAGAAACAATTATGTGTATTGTATACTATCTTAGTACTGTTTTAATTATATTCTTAAATTTCAAATTATATTTTGAATTACAATGTTGAATCTACCAGGAAAATACATTAATTATGAGAACAGCTGTTAATGTTACTTTAATATTTAATTGAAAACGTCTGAAACAATGTAAATAAACAAAGAATATAGCTATGTATACTGTAAATAGTATACATATATTGTATGTTTCACTATCTCTTGTACTGATTCTTGGCATATCTGTTAACTTTTTTACAGACATCTTACGTTGTTATGTTCCTTTCGTCATTTTTTTTATAGATGGAAGATTGATGTTGGAATTTTACTATACGTTTTGTTTAAATTATAATATAGAGCCGTAAAATGGAGTTTTATTTAAAGAGCTAAATCTTCCTTTTGCAGGTCTTTATTTTGACTTCAAATGTTATATAAACTATAATTTAGACATTTATTCACATGCCATGCCTATAATCTAGACCATCGGATAGACGAGATTTAAATGGATTAAACACTGATAACTTCGGTCGGAATAAAGTAATTTGCGTGAAATTTTTAATATTTTCATTTTTCATGAAATTGAAGGTCAAATTTTTATTACGACTGTAGTCAACCAACTAATATGGTATTGGTTCTAGTCACATTATCACGTGTTTGTGTGAAAACCAGTTAGTGTTGTGGATAATATTCATTTAGTTTTATCAACTTAGTTTTTTGGTGTTGTCTACATAATATTACAGTTGCTGTGATTATATATTGTATAGTATGAAAATTATATAATATATTGACGTATCGGAGATATCCCTAGCCCTGTTCAATGACTATTATTCCCTAATCGTCTTAAAATAAGGTGCGATGAGCGAACTAACCGCTGTGACTTATTCCACCATCAATTTAGCCCAAATACATTTATTCGGTAGACTTTAAGGGAGATAATTTTCTAATTTAACAGTTGGTGTTCTCAGTTGTGGAAAACCAGATAAAGTCGCCGTGTCAGTGAAACCCCACTAAAATGATTCAAAGAAAAGATATCAACTATTATTCAAGGGTTAATATGAAGGATAAAACGCTGATGTTTTCGGAAAATTTGGACATGTTGTCAGTTCACTTTATATCGGGGATCTAAAAAAGAACACAACGCTTTTCGGGTGCTCGTATCAGATATTCTGCGATGCAAATTCATGTCATCTTTTCTGAAAACAGATATTGACAAATGCGTCCTTCGTGAATCGTCATCTTTTATGTATTGTTGTATAAATTATGTATCGTAAATTTAGCGTGGATATATCTAAGTAAGGTTTCTAAAAAAAAACAACATATTGCTATAATAATTTCAGTTCATCGGAATTTTAAATTATTTTTACTGCTCCTAAAGATATCAACAATACAAAGGCATTTTTGTATTTTTGTAATGGTGTATTGTAAAATGTTTATCTATCCCTACATATCCTTACCTTTTCTATACTTCTTGTCTATCTAATATGATTTGTCCAACTTTTGTAAATCACTAGTATCACAATTAAAAACATTATTAAAACTCTGATCTGTGTTTTTGTCAATAAATATAGGTTCTGGTTTTGCTTGAATATCCCGACCATACAATCGTGTACAATCTTGATAGCCAGAAAAATGGGTTAACATCTATTGGAAAACTTGCATAGTAGCATCAGTACCAAGGGCCGTGGATAGATCCGTGCTTTTCTGGCATCACCGGGACTATCTTTCTTGTTTGTTGACGATGTGTTTTAACAAAAATATTTTATATATGTGTTTTTACTAAAACTGCTCATTTTTTATTAATGTGTTTTTACTAAAACTGCTAATATTTTATTAATGTGTTTTTTACTAAAACTGCTAATGTTTTGTACGTGCTTTGAGTATTATTTCTCAGCTATCCCAGGAGATATTGAACGTGAAATTTGATCGAAAGTTGAACTATCTGCGAGGCATTTCTGGATATTGGTACGTTGCGTGGTTTTAATTTACTGTGGACAACAGCAAATTGACCGACATTGTGTCCTTGGCCCACGAGTTAAGAACCTTTCGCAATAATGGCCGATGTCCAATTATTACTTCCGTAAACCTAAACATGGTTTCAATACACGGTTTCTTGTGAAGGTTATTGGTTTTGATAAGATCAACTAGTTGCAATAATAGAAACATGAACGTATTCAGAAATGTCTGATTCTTTCTCCGGGTACTAAATTAATCGTCACGGCACTAAGCCTAAAATAAAAGTCTATATGCGTATTATATGCGTTTTCCTTATTGTATTGTTAATAACGGCTGATAAAAATGACAGACAAAGAAGGTTATTTACGCTTCGATGTCTAGTCGATTTTAGTCTCTATCATCCAGAAAAATATTCTACGTTAAAGACTAGGAGGTTCCGGGTGAACGAGACTAAGTCGATTTTAAAGGAAGTTTTATGAAACGGAGTGAAATGAAATGGGGTTTAACGTTCCACTTTATGCAGTATGCTGCAGGGGAAAGTTTGCCAAGACAGTAGAACTACGACGGCCTACTGCTGTTTCGAATTCCAACTGTCAAGAGTTATTTTACGTGCACACTAATGTATATACAGGAACCCTATGCCAACACCTGTATCGAACCTGGACCTCCACGTTAGTGAGCCAGAGCCTTACTGAGCCAGGAAGCTATGTGATAGTATAATACGTAAAGTATCTAAGTCATCCCCTCGCAGCAGCCCTTAATGGAATTTAAAAAGGCCGTGTTCCTAAGATGTCAAGAAGTCTGTTGTTTTCATTGCCAAAACTTTTTCTGGTGTTTGACTCCCATAATATTTACTTATGATGTACTAAGCACCGAGAACGATTCGAAGCAGGATCCGACCAAAATCTTAATTTAGCCTTCAGGACAATTGTCGGTTATAATTTTTGTCAACGACCCAAGTTAGCTTTAAAGAGCAAAATTTGCCCATCGATTCCACAAAATGTTTCCCACAGTCTTAGACAAAAACTACCCAAATAGTGGCTTCTCGCCATATACGCGTTCATAACTTAGTTTTAAAAAGAGTATTGGAACATTTGGCATTCATAAATTATAATGAATTGTTTTAAGTGTGTCGTAAATATGCTTTAGATTAAACGGTTTCTATATTCATTAGTTAGTGCGTGAGAATAAGATTCTGATTGTTTACAGTGTCAACTTTCTCGGCTCTTCAACTAGTTGCGACAGTAGTAACTGTGGAATGGGGAGATCACAACGCACTCAATGTCGGCTCTAATCACTGATAGTGTTATCAATAGAGACAGAACCCTTCGAACCTATCTGACAATTGGTCTCCCGAAACGCCGCCTTGAAGTCAAACGTTTCAGCAGTAAGTCAATCTGATAGCAAGTAAGTAAGATATTTTTGGGGTTAAAATTAATATTTCAGTAATGCGTTGTTTTGTTGTACTATGTTACAAACTGAGTAATATGAAAATTATGTGTAATAAACGACAAAGGAAAATGAACAAAATGGGAATACAGCGCAACCATTTAAATTTGATACAATGATTTCAGAAACAGGCCATGAAAATGTAAACGGAATCTCCACAAAATCTCAATTATGTTGGGTTATAGACGTGTCGATATTGTCACCATTACAAAGCCACAACACCATTAAAATCCGATGACAAACCGATAACCACATATGACTCGATAGATTTTGTACTTTATCAAATTCATTAAAAGTTGCATTATGTAAGAATTAGGTAAAAACCGATCGTTCTTGCTATACTGGTTCATAAATAGATGCTAAACAATGAGAGTATGAAAGTTTCAATCAAATTACTTTATTTCGAGAGAAATTATCAGTATTTAAAGTTTTGACAAGAAATAGACGATTTGAAGGTACCATTGCCGTGATAATAAACAGAACAAAATCAGGAGAAAAAACCCATCATGTTATTCATTAAAATATCGCCATATATTGACTATAACAATAGGAAGAAATTATTGTCTGACAATATTTTAAAACTGTCGTTATATTTTAAAAGTTATGTTCGAGCTTGTCACAATATATTATCTATAATCGTTTAATGTTTAGTAAGTATTTCTCATATTATCACTTTTATAATGTTTTTTTTTTTTCAATATTAGATTACGGTTAACTTTTTATTCGAGGTGTTCAGTGTGATATATCTTAGCTTTTTGACAAATCCAATTCGAGTAAAGACGCCTTATGCAAATAAAGAAAATCTATTGAAAAGGTCCCTTCTACTTTGTGTCTTAGGAATATTTAACACTAAACTGTGTCCTAATCCATCTTCACAGTTTTATCAGTAATTTTCATGTAATAAATATTACTGAACCTGTAAGTGTAGCAATTTAGTTTACAGCTACAGAGACTTTAAAGATACATGCAAGAAACATAACATTTATAGTTTAAAACAAAGAACCAGAACAGGAGTAAATACAGAAATAATAACATTTACATACAGACACCAGAACATTCATAGTTTACTACACGAGTAAATATATACATAAACAGTTTACTATCACTGTAAAACGTTACTGTGAAATAACAGTTAAATGGTTGTTAAATTTTACAGAACATCTCCGTAAACTATCTTTACGTCTCGTAAGCTGTAAAAATAACAGAGAGCTAGCCGATTTGATCATCATTTCATAAAAAAACCGTGATTCGTGTAATTATACAGTCGGTTAACAATTTATTTTCAAGTGACATCAACATCGGGTTCTGTCCGATTGATTTAGTTAAAGGGTTGCTATGTAGCCTCTTGGTTTGGTTTTTATTTGTTATTTTGTCTTAAGAGTGAAGATCTTAAATGTTTTCTTTGGTTTTATTTGTTTATTTTGTCTTAAGAGTTAAGATCTTAAATGTTTTGTTTGGAATAATTTGTAAATAAAACTTTTATGCTAATTTTATTTTTTCATATTGTTTTGTATCGGACATTAATGGTATAAAATCTTGCCTGTACTGTAAAAATTATCTATGTGGCCGAATTCCGTAGTTTAACTATTTTTTCTGTTAATCGACGGGTTTTTATACGCCCACATTGAAATGTGGACGTATATTTATTGCCGTCGCCCCCGTCCATCCGTCTGTCGGTCCGTCTGTGAACGCTCTAACGCCAAAAGTTATCATCCGATCTTTCTGAAACTTATATGTATTATTTAGATTAATGAAACGAAGAATCCTATTGAATTTCAGCAATTTCCGTTTATTATGTCTAGAGTTATGCCCCTTGTTTCACTTTATTGATCCTTGTGAACGCTCTAACGTCAAAAGTTATCATCCGAACATTCTGAAATTTATATGCATTATTTAGATTACTGAAACGAAGAAGCCTATTAAATTTCAGCAATTTCTGTTTATTACGTCTAGAGTTATGGCCCTTGTTTAACTTTATTGATCCTTGTGAAGCTCTAACGTCAAAAGTTATCATTCGATCTCTCTGAAAATTATATGCATTATTTAAATTAGTGAGACGAAGAAACCTATTGATTTTAAGCAATTTCCGTTTATTACGTCTAGAGTTATGGCCCTTGTTTCACTTTATTGAACCTTGTGAACGCTCCAACACCAAAAGTTATTACCCAATCTTTGTGAAATTTATATGCATTATTAAGATTAGTGAAACGAAGAAGCCTATTGAATTTCAGCAATTTCCGTTTATTACGTCTAGAGTTATGGCTCTTGTTTCACTTTATTGATCCTTGTGAACGCCCTAACGCCAAAAGTTATGACCCGATCTTTGTGAAATTTATATGCATGATTTAAATTAGTGAAACGAAAAAGCCTATTGAATTTCAGCAATTTACATTGATTACTTCTAGAGTTATTGCCCATGTTTCAATTTGTTAAACCTTGTTAATGCTCGATTGATGAAAGTTATCATCCGATATGTATGAAATTTTTATGCATCATTTAAATTTGTGAAACAGGTCTATTGAATTTCAGCAATTTCCGTCAATAATTTCTAGAGTTATGGCGATTGTGAACGTTTGAATGACAAACGTGATCATGTGATCTGTATGAAATTTATATGCATTATTTAAATTAGTAAAACGAAGAAGCCTGTCAAATTTCAACAATTTCTGTAGATTACTTCCAGAGTTGAGACCCTTGTTTCAGTTTGTAGAACCTTGTAAACCCTCAAACGACAAAATTTATAATCTGATCTGATTATTACCTACAAAGGTATAAATATGCGACAACTCTTGTCGACCGGTCGGACGATTTAGCTGCTGTGGGCGTATATTTTGTTGCCTGGCAACCTATCTTTTGTTTTGGAGAAAATGTGTTAAAAGTGTGAATTATTTCTTCAAATTACGTATTTTATGTATTTCTATGGAATATTTTGTATTGAACAGGAAATTCCGTGTTATTTTAGGGGATAAATGGTGGAATTACCAGGAATTTAGGGATTATTGCTCTTGCAAATGCAATGATAAGTAATCGTATATACATGTATAATCATTCCTATAATAATTATCATTTTATAGTATTCATTTTAATTTATTAACCATAATATGAAGAATCGTATGTTGTAAATTGTGGTATATGACATGTCATGTATATCTAATCTCCATTATTTATAAGATTTATAAAGTGTATTGTAATTCATCATATGGTAATCAGATTGTAAGTATTTTCATAAATGTATAAAAATATCAAGCACGTATAAATCCGAATAGTATAACCGATTGGCCAGTGTAAACTCGATTGTCTATAGGGCAGAGTTCATGTGCCTGCAAATTGACAGTACCGTAAGCTTACACCTGCAAGCCTCTAACCCGTCCAATCACTGACGAGCAGCCGTTTGTGTTCCCTTGCCCTCGTCAACCGGAAGAGGTTGCGTATATGTCTAGCCCTCAATGGAAACAAAAATTACCAGCATTTCTTTTTCTGTATTTGAAAATGGAATTTATGTAAATCCCAGGAAAAACTTATACGGATAAAATTTTCCTAGTAAATTTTGTTTCCGGAACTTTTTACGTTTTTTTCACTTATTATTTTGTTACAGTGACAGTTGCAAAACATGTTTTTGTAAAACTGTGAAAATGTTGCTTAAAAATACAGACATTTGTTGGGATGTTGTCCTTCATTTTACGGCTAAATGGCTGGCAGCAGGGTTGCTAGCTAAATGGGCGTAAATTTACAGATTAAACTGTAACAAAATGGTCGCCTGTAAAATCACAGATAGCTGTAGTTTTACATCCATTTAGCTGGCAACCCTGCTGCTGGCCATTTAGCTGTAAAAATACGGATGTTTTACAGTGTACAAGAGTAAATACTGAACCATAACATTCAGTGTTTACTACAAGGGTAAATGCAGAAACCATAACACTTATACTTTACTACAAGAGTAAAAAAAAAAAAAAACCCTTAACATTTGTAGTTTACATTTATAGTTTACTACAAGAGTAATACAAAAGTAAAATGCAGTAACCATAACAGTTGTAGTAACCGTAATTCTACTGTTGCAGCATTATACATTACTGCAGGGAAAGGCAAAAAACCGTTACGTAAATACATTAGTCATAACATTTTAACACTAGTGAAAATGTATAAACCCTATACACTTGTTAAAATGATAAAATAGAAATATTAAACAAACATTTACAACCAAGCACGATAGCAAAATATCAGAAATATTTAGACTAAAACCATCTGTTGAGTTGAGTTGAGTTGACAAAAACAATAGGAAGTGGCCTTTGCTAAAATACCAAACGATGTAAGTTGTACCCAGACAACCCCACCAAAAACAAGATGGCCACAGTCAGTTCCGCCCTTTTGTTTTGTTTTATTTTATTGTAGTAAAGTATATTTATTTGTTCCGAAGAGAACATGGTTAGTAACATTAAGAACTAATTACGGTATATTTTGATTTCAGATACATATTGTTTCAAATGGATGCCTATAAGGTGGAGTAAGTATCGAACGCAGGATTTCTATCTTTTCTATTATCTTTCCCTTGGAACTGGGAAACTATTAAATATCGATTAAGTCTGGAATCCACTGGGAAAAGAGGGGTTCGAATTCAGTTTGAAACATTGACCTTTAAACATTTTAAATTTTAAACCTTGTTTTCTTTTTCTTTTAGTGACGGAAAAAAGCAGAGATGGACAGCTAAAGACAAGGTGTTAGTGTTTATGACTGTTGTATTTGGTATTCTAGCGGCTGCGTTGGTTATAGTTGTAGCTGTTAAATTTGAAGTTAATAATGATAAAACTACAGGTAAACTATATATACATAGACTTGTCTAGTTTTATTTTCCGGCCATATTCATATCACAATATATATACATTATCATTTATCAACAACTTTTGCTTTATTACATTCATTTTTCACTGCAACTCTTGATATTCCACTCTAAATCATCATCCCATTATAGGTAGTGATTACTGGAGTACACTAGTCAGTGGCATATTAATCTTCTTCTTGGTGCTTATTATTCCTCTTCCTATTTTAAAGGGGGTGGGGGGTATTTCGTTTAGAAAGCCCACTAATTGCTATATCTTTCTTTTATAAAATAATAACTTGAGATGCATATTTATAACAGATACACCCGGTGTCGTACCCGCAACAGCCGGGTCTATAGCTGGTAATGGTAATACCAAGGTCACGTCCGTTTCCCAAGCTACAGTAACAGCTCCCCAAGCTACAGTAAAAGAACCAACAGGTAACAACAATTACCCGTGAGGATATGTAATGTTTATTTCTTAAGATATGTGTACAGGCGCCTTTTCATTAGTTGAAAACTCACAGTATCCTTGAAATGTTTTATTTTTCATGAGTAAGGTTTCCTTTTATTCCGACTATATTCGTCGTTTACGAAAGTGGGCCTTAGTGAGCAGAGTCAGAACGTTCGCTGAACCATGGTGGGGGGGGGGGTCTATTTTATGGACTACGAAAGTATAAGACCTTTAATTTAGTATTAAAAACCAAAGTGGACGGTGGGTCAACTCCTAAATCCGTCACTGTAGAAATATACATTTTCAAACTATTATATCGAATTTTGTAATCATTTTACCAGCAACTAGATTAAACAAACGTAGACCGATTCCTTTAACCTTTAGGTGTTTATAATGGTGTCATACTCTTTAATTTTCAGTTTGTACGAAACCAATATGTGTCAAAACAGGTATGTTATATACATTTTTCTAGTTGATCACTTCGTATTCATAGAGTTAATATTTCATTTTGTTCTGTTTATTTTGTTATTACTTATAAGTAACTTTGCTCTTGACGTCTATCAAAAGTAAAGAATGTCGATTTATGTTGACGTGTGGGTGTAAAATTGAAGAAAACGGTTTGAATTTACATGTTCATGAATATTCATTATAACAGAATTAAGAGGTTGATTACGGCCAAATGTGGGCGGATGGTTACATGTGTACTATACAAATTCCAGTTGGTGTATCTTAAGAGTTCCATGGCGAAACCCATACGAACAAGACTTTGCCACATGTTGCTCCATCTGTTCTCTAAAATCAGAGCGGGTCACAATATACGAAAATTAGCATTAAAGGGAATAGGGAAATCAAAGGTAATTGGAGCCAAATAGCATGCACACAGTAAAATTTCAAGACTAGTAATTATGAATGGAAAGACATTCAACTCGGATAGGCATCAAGCTAAGGGGAGGTAATACTCGATGACCGAGACCGACCAAGAACAAGAACGGTAATTAGGGCTACATAGTCTAATAGTCATATATTAATTTATATATTTAATCATATCACAGCTGCCAGTCTACTTGATGCTATGGACTTTTCGATGGATCCTTGTGAAGACTTTTTTACGTATTCCTGTGGTAATTGGAACAAAAATCACATCATACCAGACGATAAATCATCGGTAAATAGATTTGGTGAAATAAGAGACAGCGTAACAATGAAACTTAAAGGTATGATACGATAACAATTCCACCAATTTTAAAGAATTAGACCTGCGGGTAATTTGACAATTTGCTACTGAATTGCAGCTCGAACCCAATCAAGATATATTGCTCAGTTAGATTGCAGTCTCAAAATAAAAAAAAATATACAAAATTTAGAATACAATTTTATGGAGGCATTTTCACTCCCAATAAGAGAAATATATAATAAATGGTAGGCTCATCCGAATATCGAAAATCTAAGCATCTACTTAAAAGAAGGCATGTTCGTTAAACTTCTTGAAAGTTGTCTCATGGCTTCTCATGTATTTCCTTGCAATGAACAAACCCAATATAACGCATGTTGAGACAAACCATGTCAACTACAGTTTCATTTTGTTTCACCAACAGCGCTAATTGGTCTTTTAAGCGTTTACAAGGGCTGAAACTGACACAGAAAAATATGGTTTGTGTCAGGAGTTCAAAGGTATACCAATTGACTGATTCACCTAAGAAATAAAAGTTCTCTGACATAGTAGTTTTTATACGCCCATATTGAAATGTTATGTCCCTTGATCACTCCAAAAAATATTGTGGACGTCTAGAGGTCAAAGTTAATATCCGATTGACATTGAATTTATACACAGTGTTTAAGGTCATGAGACGAAGAAGCCTATTGATTTTCAGCGATTTCTGATAATTACTGCCAGAGTTATGGCCCTTGATCACTTTGAAAAATCTTGTGGACGCTCTAGAGGCTAAAGTTAATAGCCGATTGACTTTAAATTTATACACAGTGTTTAAGGTCATGAGAGACGAAGAAGCCTATTGATTTTCAGCTATTTCCGATAATTACTGCCAGAGTTATGATCCTTGATCACTTTGAAAAATCGTGTGAACGCTCTAGAGGCTAAAGTTAATACCCGATTGACTTTAAATTGACACACAGTGTTTAAGGTCATGAGACGAAGAATCCTATTTTTTGCCAGAGTTATGGCCCGTGATCACTTTGAAAAATCTTGTGGACGCTCTAGAGGCTAAAGTTAATATCCGATTGACTTTAAATTTATACACAGTGTTTAAGGTCTTGAGACGAACAAGTATATTGATTTTCAATGAATCTTTATGACTTCAACAGCTAAATCCATGATGTTAAAAGTTTTGTATACTAAACGTTAGCATGGGGCAGAACTTTATAAAAACCGAACAAATTATAATGGTTTTCTGAATATTACTTAATGAGTTGTTACTCTTAATCAGATTTTAATGTATTATAAATGTTTCATTACCGAAAAAAGTAAAAATATACGACAACTCTTCTTGACTGCCCGGACGATATAGCTGCTGTGGGCGTATGTTTCGTTGCCTGGCAACCTATCTTTGGATTAACTTATTACATGATATTTCAGGATTGTTGGAGGAACCGGTGAACAATACAGGTGCCATGAATGCTGTGGACAAGGCCAAACGTTTTTATGGGTCTTGCATCAATGAAGGTAATACAAATTATATATACTATATATATGTACCAGACAAATAGTTGTTACCTCATAGGATCTGTTTCTGAGATTGAAATTTGTTTATTTGGGGTTTCTTTAAAAAATTTAAATCAATCATGTTTATCGTTCAAGAAACATACAGCATAAAGAAAACATCGCCATATAACCGTTTATTTTTGATTTCAGATAGTCTTCGTAAGAGAGGACAACAAGACGCCGAAATCTTATTAAAACGCTTGGGAGGATGGCCAGTATTAAATATCACATGGAATAGTACCAGTTTTAACATTGAACAGCAACTACTTGCCTTACGTAATCAAGGCTATGGTATAATCATAGCTGTTAGTACATATCCTGATGAACGGAATGTTACCAACCATATTATATTGGTAAATAAAGATGGCAATATAATCAAGACCAACCACTATCTTTTACAACCAGTTTGTACAGGCGACTGCATCTTCAAAATATTCTTCTTCTAAACAATGTGTTAAGTCTCCGAATCTTAACCCAACAATTTTAAACCATAATGACCAATAAGCTATACAACGAAAGAAGTTTATTGTAACAACAGTGGGGGTCAGGGTTACGGTTCGGGTGGTTACAGGGGTCCAAATAAAAATATGTTGTTTATTACAAATTTAACGTCAAATACATTATATATGATATTATGGACAGGTTTTTTGCGTGTGAAGCGGTAGTAAAAAAAATATTAAAAAAAAGGAAATAAACAATGGGTAAAACATAAATATCAATATAGGTTGGCTATATAATTAGATCGTGCAGACTAGGCACCTGATATTATGTCTCATTTTCAATGTATGTGCTTTTATAAACAAAGCAGTCATAGTGCTTTGCAAAATAATGATAGCCGAGAATTTAAAAAAAACCGAGGATATGTGGTTTTTGTAATTACACTACACATTTTATTGAAAATTCGATATTATGCCCAACAAATAATCATCTAACACATCTACTGTTATCACCACAAAAAAAATTGATAATATTCATATCTTTGTTTAATTGTGACTGTTTTATATTTGAAGCTAGATCAAGCAGCATTGGGCATGCCTTCTCGTGAATATTACTTAAATGGCACAAATGACACACGCGTGATGATCTACAAGGAATTCGCTAAGGCAGTTGCAAGAAAGTTTGGAGCATCAGAGGCAGATGCTGACAAACAGATAATGGAGATTATGGACTTCGAAATCAAATTGGCAAATGTGAGTATTATGGATGTACTACATAGAGAGTATGAATAACATTGTTTGGACAACAAATATCCATAATATGCATGTCATGTCACCACCAAGCCTGGATGTATGTCAAATTTATTGTAAAAAAACATGAGAATGTTAAGACTAATATAGTTGTGGTAAATACTGTTAAAACCTACATAATTACTGTGAGAATTTTTTTTGACAAAACTGTAAGTACTGAATTCAAGGAATATTTATTTAATATAGTTTTATATGTTTTTCAGTTGACCACACCAAAATCAGAAAGACGCAATTCCAACTTACTTTATCATAAAATGAACGTTTCCAGTTTAAAGAATGAAATTCCTAAAGTACGGAGAAATATTTTATTATTTTAATAAAGCATCCAAACGTATTATTTTTTCGCGTTGAAATAATCGAGCACATAGCCTAGCTTTATGTTGGTTAGCACGATCTGTGATTTTGTCACTTGAATTTACAATTATTACAGAATACCGCTCAAGAATCAGATTTTTCCCCACCGTAACTGTCTACATATTAATATCTGTTTCAAATTTTGCACCATTTAGTTCGATTGGCTGAAATACTTGAATGGTGTCTATAAGAAGTACAATATAACTATTGGTCTAGATGAAGATCTCATTGTTTATGAACCTAATTATCTTAAGAATGCCATTGATTTAGTCAATAATACAAACCCAAGGTAACAATATATTTTCATCTGAAATCTTACATTCAAATCTGAAATACGGTTTATTAAATTAATGATAAACGTTATCCACTTTATTTCGCAAATGTTGCACTTTTCATCATGACATTGCCACCCGAAACCCAAGCGGCAAGATCTTACTGTCAGTTAAGGCGATTCACACCACCCTGTCATAGGAATGGTACCACAAAAATCAACCACAATTTAAAAAGATTAGGCCACAAATTTGTTTTAGGTTCAAAATAAAATTGCCAGTTTCGTTCAATTTTATATGCAGGTTAGCTCATGTAAGATACATAGTTTAAGGTATTTGTATTCAGATTTATGAAGAACTATATTTTAAATATGTCTGTGTTATATATCAGGACAGGTCCCGTGAACACATTGGCGTGCACGTAAAAGATCCCTTGACAGTTGAAATTCGATATAAGAGTAGGCCGTAGTGCCGCTGTCCGGGCAAAATTTCCCTCATAGCACACTGTATGGCGTATGCCCGTCTTCATTAGCCCAGTTCGGTGCAAAACAGTAGGACGTTAAACCCCATTTCATTTCATTTCATTTCATTTATATATCAGGACGGTAGCTAACTATTTACTGTGGCGAGTGATTATGGCAAGACTAAATGACATGTCTGAAGAGTACAGACTATTGAGAACAGATTACAACAAGGTAATACATTTCTTTAATATGACCACAAGACTCTACATAAAATAACTTGTGTAATCTTTGCGCATATAGTCATGCTAAAATTGTTTAGTATGCAATTGATTTATATCCAACGGATCGTCTGTCCCTCCACAATTTCTTGTGGACACTCTACGGGCCTGAGATCTTTGCGGATTATTTGCAATGATTGTCCAGTCGATCATCAAAAATAATTTTTATCACAAATTGTGGACTTATGAAAGCTTGTGAGCACGATACATGAAATTGTGTAAAACTTGGTGCGATTATTGGTGATTATGGCGACAGTATTCCCTAATTATTACGGGACAGTCTAAAATACTTCACATTGATCAATCAAAATATGCAATATCTATAAAACCACGTGGCTGACTTGAGTGTAGAATGGCAGCGTGATCATTTGTTTATCATTTAGGTAATGCTTGGTGTTAAGCATGCTGGAGCAAGATGGAGGTCGTGTGTTGATAATACTGCAGTTAAATTACCTGAAGCCGTAGGAAGAATTTTTGTAGATTCGGTCTTTGATAAAGTGGCTAAAGAAGAGGTAATAATAGTCCTACATGTATCAATACATGTATATATTTTCAATGTTTTAATGCAATACAAAAGCCCCTATACTATCTGTCTAAAATTTTAAAAATGGTGTGAGTACGGCTGTTATTTCGTATTATTCTGATGATTCAAAGAACTGTCCGCCGCCGGTACGATTTCCAGTTCTTTTTCAATATTATACTTTATACCGGATTCGCGGGCTTCCTTTAAAGGCCAAAGACTTTAAATGACATAATAATGTAAAAGGGTATTTTACCCAAATGTTGAAAATAAATAACCGCCAATTGTCAAATTCGCTCTTTCTAGGCTTTAGATCTCATAGCTTCCCTAAGAGCAAAATTTAGCCAGATGATTACAGATGTTCAGTGGATGGATGAAGAAACAAAAGAAAAGGCACTTGATAAGGTAAGGTAACAGAGTATACATAGAACCATTGAAAATATCAAGAAGTTTGTGATCATTTGATTTGACACGGAACTTTTATATAGCCAATGAACGAACACTTCCGTTTGGGAGAAAATGGATTCAATCAATCGCAGTGCCTAAAATTAGATTTTAAAAATAATATAGAATTTATATAAAAGTGGTTCGAATAAGAACCGCAATGAAATAAAGATCAAATTAAAATAATTGATAAAGATTAAGACAGTAGACAATTTATAACGACCGCTATGATTGGTTTGGTTACGACCTTTAACATAGTCAAGATAGCTTCAACTGTAACATGATATCTACATAATAATGATTCGTTGACTATTTATTAATTTTAAAAGCCAAATGTTTGTATGATCGCATAAATATTTTATTCTGTAAATTTTAGCAAAAAGCTATCATCGAGAAGATAGCCTACCCTGATTGGATATTAAATGACACGAAACTAAATAAAGAATATCAAGGTGTAAGTTATAAAGTTTATAATAATAGTATCACCTTTATCAGCTATTCCACTAATAGTGAATGACAAAAATAACACGATTTGTTGTTGATGACTGTACTGTTATTCACTGCACCAGCAAAATTTACCAGACTTTGGACAAGTTTAACTAATGATAAACAATAGAATATCATAACTAACATTCAACTTCCAATACAATCAGCTGCTTGGCCCCAGGATTGGATGAGACGGGGACCCCGGTTTAATGTTCTCTATAGTTCAGTCACTTACTTTGTCCAACACTGACGATACAACTAAGGCGCGGTGGTGGGGTGGGGGATAACCTCCACGGGGGTCCGGAATGGACATACTGACTGAGACCTTTCTTCTGAAGGCTGAAGTACACGGTATTCGATGTGCTTTTATTTTGGAGAAACCCAAGTCGATTGTGAACAGAATCACGCAGAAGATTAATTCAGGTCAATAGATGTGCTCGACTTCCATGTTGAGTAGTTTTGAGTCGCAAACAAGTTTTGATATTGGTTGCTGTAAGGCGATAACATCTGAAGAGTCCACGGGAAGAACGATCTAAGTCACATTTTTGTCTTTTCGCATAAAAAGCAAAACAGACTTTTGGACGAGAATGCTTGACACGAACAGAACAACGAGTGGGTTTAATTACAACTTCAAAATGATGTTTAATACGAATCATAATTACCAGTACAACAATTGACTTTCACTTTTCAGCCACATTAAGGTCAAATAAAGGGTACGATGGACCTAATTTTCCGGGAGGCCATTTCAGATGTGACTCCGATCGCTTTTACCTGAAATTGAGTGTTCCATAGAAAGCTTATACAATTTGCTACCAGATGGCGCCATTAACTGGGGTTCGTTGAAAAAGTGACTTAGATCGTTCTTCGCTGGGGCTCTTCATCTGTTAAATGGGTAATTGTCATCCATAGAAGTTTTCTAGTATTTAAATGTCTCTTGAAAGGTTGCCTAGGTTACCTGTATTTCCCTGTGATAGTGATACAACTATTAGTAACTGGAAAAACTAAATTAAAATTTAAATCTGTCAAATACTGTCCTGATTTTTTAAATTTATATTGTTAGCTTAGCTTCAAGTCTGACAACTATTTCGACAACGTTGACGATGTAGATATGTTTTCTGTTGATAACATAATGAGGAAACTCAGAGATCCCGTAGATAAAACAATGTAAGTTAATTTAGATTTTAGGTAGACTAACATTGAACTTAAATTTTAATTTATTAAAAAAAAAACAAAAAAAACGAAAAAAAAAAAAACGACGTGATCCTTCACTTTGAATCAACTTTATTTTGTTTAATATCGGTTTCAGTTGGCCTATAGGAGCTTCCATAGTTAACGCCTTCTACGACCCAACACAAAATTCCATAAGTAAGTTATTACAATATGACTTATTGTTGTTTGATTTATAGAATAACACGCCCGTCGGGGTGGGGTTGCCAGCGTAGCGAGCAAAATTGGAGTCCCGGGAGTTTGTCTTCGGGTCATTTATAAAATAACTAGCAGGATACCCGGCTTCGCTCGGGGGTCATAACTCCGAAACCGGAAGTGGTAGACTAACGCCACCTGGCCTATGTTACTTCCCGGTCCGAGCTACCCCTATACTCCAAATTTCAGACTCGGGGCAGATGTAGCCGCCAACCCCGAACAGACAGACTTCGCTTGGGGGCCATAACTCCGAAACTGGAAGTGGTAGACTAATGCCACCTGGTCTATGTTACTCCCCGGTCCGAGCTACCTCTATACCCCAAATTTCAGACTCGGGGCAGACCTAGTGTAGCCGCCAACCCCGAACAGACCGGCTTCGCTCGGGGGTCATAACTCCGAAACCGGAAGTGGTAGACTAACGCCACCTGGCCTAAGTTACTCCCCGGTCCGAGCTACCCCTATACCCCAAATTTCAGACTCGGGGCAGACCTAGTGTAGCCGCCAACCCCGAACAGACAGACAGACAGACAGACAGACAGACAGTCACAAATATATATATAGATAGATGAACACATACATGTATTTGGATATTATGGGATAGAGAGTCTATTGTAGGCTATTTACAGAATCTCTGCGTGTAGAACTCTCTTATTTTTATAGTTTTAATTTTTAAATTTATTCAATTACTTTTAGCGTTTCCAGCTGGCATTCTCCAGCCACCATTTTATGATAAAGATTATCCAAAGTAAGTTAAATACCTGATAATTTATGTATTTTTTTATTTATAATAAAGCGGGGGTTCCTCGTGCATCCAAACATTAACTATTAAATATTCCAGATGGCGCGTAATAATAGTATATTAGTCCAAATTATATCAATAAAATCAACCAATCCTAAGACAATGTAAGTTATTGCCATCTAAAGTTCTATTTATTTTCTGTTGATATCATGGCGTCATCTTATTTTGTCTTAGAACGTCAACCACATACTGAAGAATAGAAAGTTTATATCTATTAACATCGAGGTCACCATGTTATTCAACTAGTATTTTTCTATTCAATTGCCTGGATTATTAAAAAAAAGTTACCTTTTGGAATTGTGTGGCTTAAAGGGGGAGAACTCGAACTACATATTAGGACGCAGACCACAAATCCCTTCCCATATCTCGGTAATTCTTTCTATTTATAGTTTCTCTCTCCCATTTTTGTTAACTTTTTTGATTTATAAGAGTTAATATTCGTGGCCGAGAGGTTGGTTACGGCGATATATACGGCGGATAGTTACATGTTTTAGTATGTTACTTCAAATTTGTACATCTGAAAGTTTCAACCTCATACAAGCTTTGGAACAGAACATTGTCACTAATTTCCAGATGGAACACATCCATCCCAATGAAAATGTGGGAAAATGCTGGATCCGGGCAAAAAGACAAGAATTATCATTAAATTAAAGTCAATGTGAGAATCTTTGGGGGTCTGCCCCAAGAAGCTTCATGGCCTGGCTCATCAAACCTCACCTGTGTCTTGTCATCAAAGCAGAATCTATGGCCTAGAAAATGTATTTGTTTTTGTATTTAAACAACACTTTATTCTCAAAGAGCATAAATATATCTGCATGGGGAAGCTAATGTATGTATACTTTTTTCAGATCACTTATCTATGGCGGTATTGGTTTGGTTATTGGTCATGAAATAACACATGGTTTTGACGACCAAGGTACGCATTTGTTCGCATGTGAAGAAGTAACCGGTTTGCCTTGTTCGAAAATTTCAGCTGGAAATACTTTGGCGTTGGATATTCATACTTAAACAAAAACAAATTATTTGGAGAACCGGTGGATTAAAAGGATAAATTAATCATGTTTTACTCCAGAATATTTGTTGCAACTCTTCAAAAAGAACGAAAGCTCACCGTATGTATACTGTCCAATAGTAGGGTTATCGGGTCATCTGATAAATGGGTCGTTCAATGAACTCTTTCTATTTTTGAAGGTCGACAGTATGATAAAGATGGAAATTTATATTCATGGTGGACAAATACATCATCCATTAAATTTGATGAATTGGCACAGTGTATAATAGATCAGTATTCCAGCTATAAATTTGGCCCCGATTACGTAAGGTTTATTATTACCATTGATATTCAAATAATTGAAATGTTATGCCATATCTACAATTAGATTGGATTTATGACAGAGTACATTAATGTAAAATGCCTCTTACTAACCTTGTGATATATTGTCAAATAATTGTGTCATCTCTGTGGAATGGCATGTTGGTCCGTTTGTCGGATTATATTTTGTATCTTCATCTAGTTTCAATACTTATCCATTTCAACGAGATGCAAACGTCTAATATTTCCCCCTCCTTAAACAATAACAACTGGCATTTTTAAAAATATTTTATAGATAAAAGGTACAAATACACAAGGCGAGAATATAGCTGATAATGGTGGAATAAAGGCAGCATTTAAAGTAAGTATCAAATATACTGTAGACTAATATATAAATGAGGGTGCGGCAATAGTAGTCCTCCTTATGGTTGCTGATACGTCATTATCTTACACATTGGGTAAGCAAGCATTGTCATTGAATGTGCGGTTTTAACATTGTGTGAAGTGGTGTCTCCCTTATTGCATTTTGTTATTATTAATAAAAGAGGATTGTGGTTTCGTTTAGCACTATGTCAATAACTTGTTAATGCTATATGTACAGTTTTTTCTACAGTGTTAACACCCATGAGCCAATTCCAAATAACTATTATTTTCAAGTCACTTTTATTCTTTGTGTTTGTATTTGTAACATGAGAAATGTTGCAACGGTCTTGCCTTCTTCGGTGTAGATCCGGCTTCTAAAATTCAATTCTAGATTATAGCATCAATTATCTACAAATTGTGGTGAACACTTTCTTCATTTATCCACAAAATGTGGAAGCAAGACACATTCTTATTAAAATATACGTTTATTCACAAACCATAAACATTCCTTTCTAATGAATAGTTTATTTTTATTTCAGGCTTATAATACATGGTTAAAAAGTAATAATGAAGAATATGATAAATTGCCAGGTTTAAATTTGACACACAATCAACTCTTCTTTATCAATTTTGCGCAGGTAACCATGTGAATGACAGACACGCAAAATAAAAAACTATTTATGGATAAAAAATTACAAGATTTCCCAAGTCGTTATCTGGTATACTTAATAACGATTTGTGAAATCTTGCTGAAACGTCGCATTTTAATAAACCGTATTAATTGTTATCCATAAGTAGTGTTTTATTTGATTACTAAATGCCATTAAAAATATACAGATAAGCCATATAGAAGTGCCATTAAAGGGCCCGTAAACTGGTGATAAATGTCATTAAGGAAAGTTACCTTACGGTGATAGATGTCACTATAAAGAAAGTAAACTTTACCGTACGGTGATAGATGTCACCATACAGAAAGTAAACTTTACCTTACCGTGATAGATGTCACTGAAAAGAAAGTAAACCTTACCTTACGGTGATAGATGTCTCCATACAGAAAGTAAACTTTACCTTACCGTGATAGACGTCATTAAAAAGAAAGTAAACCTCACCTTACGGTGATAGATGCCACTATAAAGAAAGTAAATATTACCTTACGGTGATAGACATCATTTATAAAGAAGAGAAAGTAAAGCTATATTACGGTGATAAATGTCTTTAAAGAGAAAATGAGCTTGACCACACTGTGATGGATATGTTAACGAACATCAGATAAAGTAAACTTTACCCTACAGTTATATACACCGGGCATTAAAGTTACGGTGATCAGATAAAGTAAACTTTACCTTAAGGTTATAAAATTAATTTTTTCCTTTAAATTAAATTCTTGTATTGTCCAGGGTTGGTGTGGTAAGAGAACCCCAGAAGCTTTACATAATCAGATATTGACAGATCCACACAGTCCAGGCAGATACAGGTAGCACTATATATTTCTACTAAGTGATAAATGATTAAGAACATTTCTTGCGTATTTGGTTCTAATGTTTCATGTTTTAATTTAATATCTTATAGAATAAAGATATATCTGCAGAGCTCGATTTCAATTGATGTAATTTATCTCTACTTGAAATTTAGTTAGTGAATCATAAATCCATATAATATTATTAAACAGTTGCCCGACAAAAGAATTATCTTGAAATTTATCAAGGATGAACTGCAAATATAATGGCAAATGGTCACTGAATCCATATAGAAGCACACGTGGCATGACCAACTCGTCACCTCTAAAATTACCCCCCCCCCCTCCGGCCTACCCACCCCTCCTAGATTATTATTTCATCACTGGACGAGGTAACTGGCTGAACAAATTTTACCAAAAATGAGCAGGAATTGAGATAACTTATCTTAGTATGGTGAATATTTATAAATTTATATATTTTCAGAATAATCGGAACTCTATCGAACAGTGAAGATTTTTCAAAGGTGTTTCAGTGTAAACCAAATTCCACAATGAATCCAAATAAAAAATGTTCTGTTTGGTAATTTATGAACTGCTGTATATAATGTTAATTTCTTAAATATTATTTTAGATATTTACTTATATAACTTTTAATCAACTTTGATTTTATTTCGAAGCTTGAAATCCTTTCGGTTTTAAAACTTCCATATAACATCATTGGTATACTGCGCGGTCGCAAATAAACTTATAACAAAAATAAAATGAAATGGGGTTTAACGTTCTACTGGTCTGAACTTAGAACAGTTTCATTTATACAAGACTCGCCTTTTTATACGCCCACATTTTCATGTGGACGTATATTGTCGTCGCCCCTGTCCGTCCGGATGTCCACAATTTGTTTGTGGACACTCTTCAGGTCACAATTATTATCCGATATATATTGTCGTCGCTCCTGTCCGTCCGGACGTCCACAATTTGTTTGTGGACACTCTACAGGTCACAATTGACGAAACTTTAAATATAGGTATATCTCCAAAAGATCTCGATTCTTTTCGATATTGGCATGTATCGGATCGAAACTTCATAGATTATGGCCCCTGATTGTCCGAAAAATCACGTTGTTAGCTTGTGGACACTCCAGAGGTCACAATATTCATCTGATTTTGATGAAACTTGCAATGCATGTTTATGACCCAAAAATCTTGGCTCCTGTCGATATTCACGCATATCGGAGAGTAAGTTCCTGGTTTATGACCCCTGATTATACGAAAAATCACGTTTTTAGTCCGTGGTCCCTCTAGAGGTCACAATTATTATCCGATTTAAAAAAGCATTCTAGTATATCACCGTTACAACCCTAATTTTGGTTGAGTACGAATTTCGTGAAAATCGGACCCAAACAGTGTAAAAATATGGTATATCAAGGTTGTTGACCCTCTAGAGGTCACACTTTTGATCCGATTTTAATGGGACTTGAATACATTTTTATAACCCAAAGATCTGGGTTCCTTTTTATATTCGCGCATATCGGATCACAACTTCTTGAATTATGGCCCTTGATTGTACGAAAATTATCGCGTTATTAGCTTGTGATCCATCTAGAGGTCACAATTATTTTCCGATTAAAAAAAAAAACCGCTTTAATATTTCACCGTTACACCGTAATGTCGGTTGAGTTCGAATTTTGTTATAATCGGACCAAAACTGCGGGACAAAATGGCCGCCCCTTGTACGCAAATAGTGTAAAAAAAATATGGTATATCAAGGTTGTGGGCCCTCTAGAGGGTTTATAACCCAAAGATCTCGGTTTCTTTCCATATTTGCGCATATTGGTCTGTAAGTTCCTGGATTATGGCTCCTGATTGTACAAAAAGTCATATTATTTTTTTTAGCCCTATCTCTGTCCATCTCTTGCAAAATGTGGGCGTATCTTGCATGGCAACCGCTTGTTAAAGTAAGGTGCTTAGATACGTCAAAGTATTTCATTGCTCGCAAAATATTTCTTTTTCAACCAAGATGATTTTTAGTGAACAGTATAAGAAGTATAAATTATATTTATCTTGTTTAAGTACCCAATATTTATCTGTTTAATTGTGTACAAGGAAAAATTGTTGATGTTTATATATATATATATATATATATATACATGTATATATATATTGATCATGCTTATTGTAATATTATCTGGGTATTTTATGTAAATAATTATTTCTATTAATTAATCCAGAGAGATAGAACCATTGATTTCAATAAAACGTTTCTATGCCGTCCGTAGTTTTTATTATTATGTTAGCGTATAATATCAGGAGTCTTTGCAGAATGAAGAATCAAATATGGTTGAAAATTTACCAAGTTGAGGGTCATATGGAAGAATGCCGAAGTTATCGATTAAAGTATTATTGCGGATTAAAATGTGATATGTAAAGAGATACTCATTGTTAATTCTCTCTTATGTCTCACGGTAATTTTTCTTACATTTTTTTCTGGTTTTTTTTCGTCTCTGGTTACGTCTTCCTAATAAATGATTAAAAAGACAATTACTAAATAAGGCACAGAAACCTCGCCTTGAATTATATCCTGCACTGTTAATTTTGATGATAAAGTGGACTTTGGTATATTTATTATTTCCTTACGTAATACGTATGCTATGTCACGAATCTTTGCTTTTATCGATGATTTTCTGAGAACACCCCTTTAATGGTCTCTTCAGCATTCATTCTATTGTTATAAATGTTATTTTCTTTAGTATTTGGTGATAATAATAATGTCAATTTCTCTGTTCTAAAGTAATTCACTATCTTCCTTTCAAAATGGAAAATATTAAAATCACCAAATATATTATTATCTTGGCTGCCATCCTCCGAAAAACTGGTATATACTCCCAACAGAATGGCAAAGTACTGATTATACAGTTTTTTTGTTGTGTAGACATTGTCTTCTTCAATAATAGATTCTTGTATAAAAGATAATGCCATGAAATAGTGTAATACTATATTTAAAGGAGATAAATAGCTAATATTTGGCACACAAATGGGTTGTAACGCTTATAGTAATGTAATATGAATGTCTTTAAACTGTAAACTGATTTACATTCAATCATCTCTGTTCTTACTGTGAAGAATTTCTAATCAGTTATGTTTGGCGAAATGCGCGAAGAGTCCGAATTAAATGGCAGTCATTGGCATCTGGTTATTCCAGTCTACACTGGTAGTATTCTCCTACATGGGATATGTTTAGCCTCGTTTGTTGAGTCGCTACATACAAATGGCACTCGAAGGCATTCTGGCAATTTTAACATTTTCATTTTGTCTTAAATATTGGATAACAGAAGCCCAACTTTTCAGGGTAAGATAACAACATCAATGTTGATTTAAATATGTTTAGCCTCGTTCGTCGAGTCGCTTCATACAGATGGCATCTGAAAGCATTCTGGCACACGATTCGCGTGCCGATTTTAACATTTTCATTTTGTCTTAAATATTGGATATCAGAAGCCCAACTTTTCACGGTAAGATAACAATGTTGATTTAAATTGACCATTAAGTCGTGTTTGCAATGTCGGAAACTGGATGATATTGAGTTCAAGACTTGGCTACTTTAATAGAGAAATGAAATGAAATGTTGTTTAACGTCCTACGCTTCTGCACCTAACCTGGGCTAATTGAAGACGGGACTTTAATAGAGAATCATATCACTTGGAGGTCAGTCGTGCTGTATTGAATCTCTACTATGAAAACTGCCAATTAATAGTGGGGTGTCAAACTAGTCAGTTTGTAGATTTAACTTTGAAGTGATATCAAGCATGAGTATTCAACCTTTGGGGTGGGGGGGGGGGACAATTAAGTGGTCAGATTCGGAGTTTGCCCCACGGAAACACATCAGATTTTATATTTTTATAACCGACTAATACATAGTTAACATTTGGCACCAGTTTCAATCATTTTACTTATGAGGCAAATTTTGACCCTATTTGTGGGCGTGGCAGATTAGGCACATCTAAGTGGTCAGATTAGGGGTTTGCCCCAATGAAACCAGTCAGATTTGATATTTGTAGAACCGTCTCGTAATTAGCTAACATTTGGCACCAATTTCAATCTTATTACTTATGAGGCATTTTCGGACACCCGTCCACACTTTTTAGGGCAGTCAGAAAGGGGTGTGGCCCCATTTTTTCCGGTCAGATTTTTCATTTTAAGATTCAGATATAGCACCACAACATTTCAAAATTATTTCTGACCATATTACTCATGATGTAAATTTTGACCTTTTTTGTGGGCATGGCAGATCGGGCAGATTTTAAGTGGTCAGATTAGCGTGCCCCACTGAAACCAGTCAGATTTGATGTTTGTAGAATCGGCTCATACATAGCTAACATTTGGCACCAATTTCAACTATATTACTTATGATGCGAATTTTGGCCCCGCCCACACTTTTTAAGTCAGTCAGAAAAGGACATGGCCCCATTTTATCCGGTCAGATTTATATTTTTTATATTAATACATTGTATGGCAATATTTTAGAAATAATTCTGATCCTATTACATATGAGGCAAATTTGAGCTCCACTGAAACCTCGTAAGACTGGGGTTTTTGAATTTGTCCTATCAAACCTTCTATTACTTATGCAGTTTTTTCGTCAATGGCTCTTGGACTACCACTGTTAGCTGGTCTAAATTATGTTCTGAAGTTTGGACGGCAACAAAATATCAATTTAATGAGACTACAACTCAATCACTAACCTTAGACTATTAACGCAACACATGGGTTCTAAAGTGGCGAGATTTTTTAATTATAGGAGCTCTATATGCTATCAAGTAATTATCTGACATTTGTCTAAACTCAACTGTAAATATACAAGCACTATATAGAAAACAGAAGCTTGGGATCTGTAAACTTAATACCCAGCAGCCATCGCCAGTATATAACCCCACAGCTTCTATTGCTACTGAATCGGCAAAGAACGCGAGGAGTTAGAAATGTGGGCCACTGTTGTTGAAAGGCCGGTATCAAATTTAAACCTAAAACCTGGCAGAATGATTTTGTAAAGCCGACGTTGATATGTGCAAGCAGCAGGCATGGCGTTTATCAGAAGAGAATCCCGGTGCCATGAACAAAGTTAAAGAATTCCTTGATGTCTGTGTGAAGTTTCTTCATTAGGAATTATATCAGGAATAACATTTGGTGCATGTATTTTTGAACTCGGTGAACCGCGTGTATAGAATTATGTGATACTACACTGAATGTACATACATACACCAATGCATTTTACATTTAATATATTAACTATAGTGTGCTCTCATAAGGTCGTGTAGTGATATATAAGTAAAGAAAATATTTCTTAACACTGGATAAAGACGGGAATTAGTGCCGTTTTTATGGTTAATATCAGAAATAGATTACCGCGTGGTTGAAACATCCCCAGTCCAAAAGCAAGGAATTTGGTTAATATAGGATTGGTTTATCTTCTACAATGACTGGTATGTTTAATCAGAATTTTCTATAATAATTCATTAATTGTTTGTTATCAAATACTAATGGCTTTAACGGTCATATACCTAGGATGGTACGGAGCATTTTATTATTTTAATTAACTAATGCACGTACAAGTAATATAATTTGATTTGGTTTGAGTAAGGACTTAGTGCTATGGACTTGTAAGTCGACATGACACGTTTTTTAAAGTGATGTACATGAATCTAAATGAAAATAAAATGCAATTCCTTTAATTCTCCCCCTTTGAAAAAAAGAAAAACAAAAGAAGATAAACAGGGCTATATAATACCTCTTGTACGAGCTTTAATAGTATCTATTTCCTTGTTAAAATAAGTAGAACTAAATCATTTTTCTAAAACAATTAAAATGTACCGAACCAAGTAAGTATATGACAGCCTTTCACTTTAAAGCATTAAGACGAACTTAATAGGTTGGACAGATGTGAGGAATGCTCTCTCTATATTTTGATAAAAATAAGTCATATTTAGGCTAGCTATGTGTGGAACTGTAAAAATACATTTTAGGAATGTATGTTAGGTGTATTGTATTATCAGCTGTTATCGTGGCTGTTGGAAAATATAGTAAATGCCCTGAATAGAAAATAGTAAATGCTCTGAATAGAAAATAGTAAATGCCCTGAATAGAAGATCGGACATGCTCTGAATAGAAAATATTATTGTTCCACTATAGCCAACGTAACACAGGAAATATAAATAATATTTCTCTATTTTGTTATTGATTTTAGAAAATTTGTTCTTCTGTTTGTGATGTTGGCTAAATTCCACGAAGATGACCATACTAAACGAACGACTATTAATTACTGACACTAAATTAATGCTCCTAGAATACTGGTACTGAAAACAGTTTATCTTGTAAGTGGTGGGCCGGATAGATACTTGTGTACTTGACCTCTGAGTATCGTACATGATCTATCTTGTGTCTAATTGACCGGATAGTATCTAGATACGTCTTGTAGGGGATATTGATATCCTTCGTGCATACTAATTGGCCGGACAGATACTAATATTATTATCTGGTCGGTAATTGACCAAATGGGTACAGTGACCCATGGGTAATAGGTGAATACGTACCGTGATCTATCTTGTGTCGAAAACGTGATGTAATCTACCTTGTGTTCAATTGGTATAAGACCTGAGATCTATCATGTTGATAATTGAACAGTTGGGTATGGGGAGCCATCTTGCTTCTTACGGTCAAATATTAATTGAGATTGACCTCTTAGGTTCCGTGTTGTACATGTATATAGTTTGGTACTATGATAGCTGCCTTGTGTCTAACTGACCGTCTAGGTTCTGAGATCCATATTGTGGCTAATTAATGGGTTGGGTACTAAGATCATCTTGTGTCAGATTGACCGGTTGGGTACCGTGATCTATATTGTGTGTAGTTTGTGTGGTACTGTGATATGTCTTGTGTCTAATTGACCGGCGAGGTACGGAGATCATCTTGTGTCTAGTCGTTCGGTTAGGTTCTGATATCGGTTATACCTAGCTCTGATATTTTGTACCCAAAGATTGCATGTCTAATGTCCAACTTAGATAATATAACTTATGAATATAATTAAGCTTTTCAAAATGTCTGTCAAACTGGCTATGTTATTACGTCTTTATTTGCACGATTAGAAACTGCACCCCTATGAAATCAAAATCCATTCACATCATTGCACACTGCATTTATGTAGTAATGAAGGCGATATGAAGTCATAGCTCTCATCATTAATTAGACAATTGCTGCATGCAAAATGTCACCCATGATAAATGACATGACCTTTTAGTATAATATATACGGTAATTATCGTGGTGAATAATAGGTTTATTAACCAGGATAATTGTCAGCTTGATCTTTTATCAAAACAACAGTTTCTATATTTTAAAAAATACTTTATAAAGTTTATCATGTTCGCTTCCTGTAGCTAAATCCTTTCTGTTTCGAGTATTTGCTAACTCAATGACTCCATTATAAATGGTGCAAGGTTCACTACTAGTGACTATCAGAATAAATATAACGATAATATTGCTCCTAGAATCTTTGTGTTATATCAAAATGATTTATTTGGAACGATTATGAAACTTGCATACTTGAATAATATACAGAGCTGTTATGGCTTTTTTTTTATAGCTGTATGAATTTTTTTCTATTATGGTTTATCTGTAAATATTTATTCCTATGCCACCTTCATTTGGGGGGAAAGTGTGGGCTGATTGTGTTATACACTCCATCTTCTCATTAGGATAATAGCGTGCTAAAGTTCATAAACCTTATACGGATTAAACATATCTCCCTGGTCAGTTTGTTTCCTTACCTATCAGTTTCAATTAAACTAATTATCTTTAACAGCTTATAAATATAACATGGTTGCCCGTCCCTGTCATTCAGGTAACCACTTCTTCGGGTAATCACCTCTTTGATCTAAAGTTTTCTTTTAAGAGCAAATGCCATATGATTGAAAACGTATGTTCTATCTACAGCTTTAATATTTTGAGTGTTACGTTCTGCTGACTTTGCGTATGATAACTGGTCTAATTTCCGTTACATCATCAGAAACTGCGACCGCAAACATATTGCGAAATTTGATGATTAATGTAGATAGACAAACACACAAATATCTACCATATGTTTATACTTTAGATAATGAAAATACTATGAGGCACCATACCCCTATATCAAGTAGTAATATAATATAGCACCTGTTTACATATACCAACATTAGATCATAGTATATTGTATATAGATGTTCTATATAGATGAAGACCGTTGAAATCATTTTCCGTTGCTTCTTCGGGTTTGTTTTGGCATGGATGGGGTGGGAGACGTAACATTTTATGGAGCCCCTAAATACAAATTGCCACTGAACTAATTATCGAGTTTGACATTTTGGATCTTGGTGTTTACACTTTGTGTCTGTTTCTCGTTGTGTTAAAGATGCATTATGTAAGAGCTAAATCTGAATATTGCTTCTTTAAGCACCATGACCACATTGCATACAAGACACACAGTGGAACCAGGATTTGTCAGGGCAATTCATTTACACGAATTAAATCTGACCTGCGATATCTTGAAAGACCATATTTAGGATGTAAATGAATGAGTCTGCTGATTTTTCCGGGTACAACAAATACCACTTTGAAATTCACCTCTGAAAGATATGGGTAATAATACTTTTTATTTTAAACATCATTCAATTACTAATAAAGGTCTGTGTACGCCACGCGAAAATTACTCATAAAACCCTCTTTATACTTATCAATATACACATGGTCTAATCACCTTGGCTTAATATATTAAGAGTAAATGTAAGTAATGAAGTATGTTGATGTCTGGTATATGTCAGTTTTATATACGATGATAAGTATATATATATAACTTTATCTATATAATCTAGTAAACTGTTGATGGTTTATATAATATACATCATGTTTGTAGAGATAGTGTTAAATCTGCTGACTATACTATATCAATGAATAAAGGCCAATCTGAGAAATAGTCCACAACTTTTCTTTTTATAATCTTTTACCCCGGATTCTGAAAGCCACTGAAACCTATTTCTTTCGGGATGTTTGCTTGTACACACATATATATATATATATTTATTTAATCGCACTGGGACATTCCACAGTTTTCGATATTGCAAACACGACTTATTGGTCAGTTTAAATCAACATTGGTGATGTTATATTACTGTGATAAGATAGGCTATTGATATCGAATATTTAAGACAAAATGTAAATTTTAAAATTGGCACACGAATCACGTGCCAGAATGTTGTCGTGTGCCATTTGTAATGAAGTACCCGACGAACGAGGCTAAACATGTCCCACAGGTGATTACTATCTGTGTACACTGGAATAACCAGAAGTCAAGCCCAAAGACTGCCATTCAATTTAATAACTCCTTTAATTCTAATGCTTTATCAGCTATCATGCCACTGTTGTTGATCAGAATGTCTTACAACAAAGTCTGGTTTTAGAAATTGCAGAGTGTGCAAAATTATAATGAAATATCACTATTTAGTAGATCAATTAATTTTCCTGTTATTATAGTTTTAGGTCAAATTAATTGTTATCTGACATTTTGTGAAATTGTTTGATTCTCCTACATACCTATCTCTCCGCAGATCATTCGTTAAATGGGCCTATGATGCTTTTAAGAATGGTATAAAATAATTTTGATATCACGTGATTTAACTTTTCATTTATATTCGGAATATTCACATTAGGTTTTTTTGTGAACATAAATCTACCTCGTCACCAATGAGTTGTTTTGAAGGAGCTAAGTCTTTAACTCAATATTTTCCATAATATTCGAAATTAAAAACACGAATTAGAATTCAATAGTGATCAATTTCAATGAATATTAATGTTGTTATCTTGTCGTGAAACTATAGGATCCTAATATCTTCTTCGATTGGCATTTAAGCGACGTTTCGACGAGGATATTCTCGTTTTTATCAAGCAAATGATATCAAACTCAGTAATTGTGTATCCATTAATTTGTATCTTGTGTTAATATTACTACATGCCAATCACCAATATGGAAATGTGGCCACCAGACTAATCATCATTTGCTTGATAAAGACGAGAGTATCCTCGTCGAAACGTCGCTTAGTATCAAACTCAGTGATTGAGTATCCATAAAATTGTATCTTGTGATCCTAATATCCAATATTTAAGACACATTAACATTTTATAATCAGTACACGAGTCGTGTACCCTATGGTTTCGGATGCCATTTTGTAATAAACAAATAACAACATATCTTACAACACAATGTGGAAGTAATTATAGTAAAGGTTGATTCACAAACTACAAAATAATAATTTTAAAAACGTATAGAATGTACTAAGCAGGCGTAAATGACTGCTGTTCAATTTGAACTGTTCACGTATTTCACCGAACATAATTGATTAGAAATTACAATATCATACGCCCTTTAACTTTCAATTTACGAGTTATTTTAAATATATTTAATAAAATGCATTAATTTCTTTTGAAAGTTGTCAGGGCACTTTATTTATGCCACCAAGTACTAAGTCAGCTATGATAACGAGTGGAAAATACACATCGGTGAACCATGTAACAATATTAAACAAATATTATATTTATAAGACACAACTGGCATCTAATCAACCAACTAAAGAAGGGTACGTCGCTTTTCTACATTCAAACACAAATATAGACTCACAAGTAAATAAAGACATTTTGAAAAGTGGAAATTCCTTTGAGTGACTGACCCCCCACCCCCAACCCCTTGAATTGTTAAGACTGTTAAATTTATGAACATTGTGAACAGATTGTAATGTTGACTGTGTCTATAATCGCTTTCATTTGTATGTTAATTACAAAGTTCAGTCAATAAACTAGCTTTTAAATAAAACAAAAATACACACCATTTGTCAATGTGTGTTGAATTAAGATTGTCAATCGTGTTTGCATTATCTTTTTTTATATACTTTTCAAAGAAATGGGGTGTCTTTACCGTAGATATCGTGTTAATGAAGGCCTATTAACTTTGAAGAATGTTATGGCATTGTGTCATTTCCTATTTATATGTGCAATGAGTGCGGATGAAATTGTTTTTTTTTTTTTTAATTCATGCTATTTAAATTGACATTTTGTTTTTTTAAATCTTGCTATTTAAATTGACATTTTTTACTCGAAGTAATATTTTGATGTGCCTTTAGTGGGTATGTTATCTTTGTTTATAAGATTGCACGCCATTCGTAGATACCATAGTGGGTTCAAAAAACAAACATACCACAACTACTGCTGAAATATAGGATCTATAAGACAAACAATATATCATAATATAGTATTTTGTGGCACCATCAGATATTACCAATATTCCACCTTCAAATTGTAATCCCAATTCTTGTAACTGTTGAAGATGACCGATATAAATGCATGTGGTATTAATGTGTTGACGGTGTCCTGTCATTGCTATAGTTATTATACACTATTACATAATATTATATACATGCTCAGCTGTTAGTCAAGATTCGTTCTATGTGTTCCAAGATAATGTAATAGGCCATGTCGGTGTTTATTTACATTGGCCAAACCTCTGGTCTCCAGAAGAATCTTTTATTTACGTAAGGGGTCGAATTTTGCTGATTTAGGTTCCATGTTGCGGAGAGAACCGCAATTTCCCGAAACAGTGGCCCGACAAAATCCTCTTGCTAGCCATGACTGCACTTGGAACCAAAATCTGGGTTTTTGATTGAGTGAAACACAACACAGCGAGGAGTATGGAAAAACCGATGTCATTTCTTGAATAGAACTTCACAATAAATCCAAACCCCATTGTTGTAAAAATCAAACGGATTTTGAAATATTATACAGTAATACACAAAAATACCAAGGACTGAAAATTAGGCATATCATGATGAACTGCTTTAAATTATAGCCCAATCAGGGAATTCATTTGAGCGAGAAATATTTTGTCAATGTTATCCAATCAACTGCTGTAAAAGATATCCCGGACGTGTGAAAAAAACTTCAAAGTGATATTATTAAGTTTTCAAAAGCCCTAAATAGTAATTGAAGAGGCATTCCACTAAAGAGCGTTCTTTTTAATTTTGATCTTGTTTTGTGTTTTTCAGAAGTAAAACCAAATAATATTCCCCTAGACGACTCCTTTGTAGAGGTCAAACTTAAACTAGACGCCGACCATTCTCCAGCTGACCAGAGTACAGTGGTGTTAACTCAACCAAGTAGACCAAAGAAAATTACCCGTGTTACGCTCAATATGCCATTTGATGACGCTCATTGTGAAAAAGAATGGTCGTCTGGTTTATTTGATTGTCGAAAAGATGAAAGACGAAGTTGTAAGTCATAAATTTTCCGATTTTTTTCAGGGAACAATAAAACGATAGTAGGAACACATATAGGTAACAGGACAATTTACTTATCAGTGGATAACCCGGGTACCAGAGTATGCAAATGGTACCATGTCCTTTTCTGGGGTATACATGTATACCCATGCCCTAATGATGCAAGTTTTCAACCTTTTGCTCATGATACGAAAATTGTGAATAATCAGGCTTTTGTCACTTTCATTATCATGTATTTTAAAGGTTTTTTGGTTGGAATTTGGAATGCTAGAGGCGCTCTAAACAGCGTTCTCGGAATTGACAAATTTCAAAATTTTCTAGAAGCCGGGGGGAGAGAACACCCTGCCCCCCCCCCTATCTTTTGGTACCCTGGCCCTCGTTCCGTTCCGGCGCCCCTGACTGTATAGAGTACCCTAAAGTACAATTAAACGTCATTGTTACCGTAGAGTACACTAAAACAACATTGTCCTGAAAATAATACTAAAATGGCATAGTGGTAAGAATATACAAACAACCGTGTCCTGAAAGAATACTAAAATGACATTGTCCTGATAGAGAATAATAAAACAACCGTGTCCCGGCAGAGAATATTAAAATGACATTGTCCAGGTAGCGAAAGCTAGAAGAAACATAAGTATGCAATGGAAAAATCCACAACCTAAACTAGAACGACATTCTCCCTTCTGTGTAAAATGGAAAGTCGTAGTCCATCGTCTAAATTAGAGTGTACCGTGTAGGTTTCCAGAATATAATGCATTAATTAAATACATGTTTGTATTGAATTCTTTTCAGGTTGTTTTCAGTGTTGTTGCTGGTCTTATCTTCGATATACTCTAGCAACCAGATTAGGGGAAACGCCGTTTATGGCAATGATACCATGTACAGCATTTGGTCTACGGGTTAAAGTTCGATCTTTGTTTAGTTTAAAGGTATTTCGCTTATAATCATTATTCAGAGTTTGATAATTAGGCTCAGATGCAGAACACAAAGGGACAAGACAATTGGACACTTCACACTGGGTAGGATCAAGTTCAAGTCGGACCTGGTCTATTTTGAAAACAACACCTTAAAAGTCCACGTCTGTGTTCGCAGTTTTAAAAACGAATATCTATGGGTAAAATTGATTGCATATATACTACTATGTGTTTAATGGGATAACTGGAGATATTTCGGTATTTATTTCCTTATCGTGTAAATGTGATTCTAAAATAATTCCTCTTTCAAAAGTTATCTGAAAATAAATTAATATAGACTGTATGCTAATCACACCAACAACGCATGGAAAGAAACATTGCCCGGATAATCGGGGCCATATTTGTATCCGTTATATAGCCAGAAAAGTGAATATAGCTAATTGTGAGTCGTCGCAAAGATTTACCATGAACCTGAAATGGGGTTGGGCGGTCTTTTTTAGCCACTGAAGGAACATATATTTATGATATTTTGTTTTATGATATTTTTCAGGGCACATTAGTGAAAGATTTTTTCTCGACCTTATGTTGTGAACCATGTGCTATTTGTCAAATGAGTCGAGAGTTAGATGATATTGGACTTTGAATATGAAATTTGCATCAAACAATTTTTTATATCATAACGAAAGAACAAAGTGGAAATATTCTAATGTACCAACAGCATGAAGTAGAAGAATAAAGACTTAATGTTTCCGTTTAATGAGATAAATTTCCCACATAAAACCAATCCTATAGACAAGACATGAATATTAACAAATCGGGAAGTATCTAAATATCAAGTAATTCATTATACTCATAGACAATATGAACAACGTGTTTTATATATAATGTATATAGCTTTTTGTAAATAAATCACCTACTTTCATGATGCTGTTATTGCTCATTGTTTTTCTTTATTTATACGGATTCAGGCCACAAATAAATTTTACAATTTTATTTTTACGATTTGTAGTTCGTATATTTATAGCTATGCTCTCTCCCTCCCTTTTCTCCCCTTCTGGATGGCCGTTTTTTGTATCCAGAATTGAAGAAGAGGTTTTGAATTAATATTTTCTGTCAGGTTTAAATGCGGAAATAAAACAGAGTGAAGAGGCTGGTTACGGTAATATGTACGGCGGAGCAAAGACTTGACCAGATGTTGCTCTGTCTGTAATAAAAAGCATTCAGCCCAGCGAAATTTGGGGAATAGTTGGAGAAGGGCAAAGAGACCAAAATTAACATTAAGGTCAGCAGAGCCATAGCGGAAAATGTGATTAAAACACAGATCATATTTCGTTTCGTTTTTTTTATAGTACAACACTTCGTTTTACTTGTCTATACTACACTAGGATCTGAAAGAGTTATTATAGAACCCGCGTGACAGATTGGCCATTACAACGGTCTGTTGCGGTGAGTTATTGGCGTACGGTGCACGGAACTGTGGGTATCCCGCTAAAAATATCAGCGCTGATTGGTAAATCAAATGTCGGACGTCATAGGGTCAAAGGTCAGCTCTTCATGTAGCGGAGGCCACCCAAAGTATATAATAAAAACGGAACGAAATATAGATCTGTATTTTAATCAGATTGCATAGGGGACAATGTTAAGAGGACTAAAGATTAACTATCTTAAATTTTTAAGATAAAATCGATATTCATTGCTTAGTGATTGGCCAGTAAGCAGAAGTCTTGAATCTTAATGAGAAATAACCCCTCCTACTTTCTGATCAATGTCATGATTTAAACTCAATTGCCGATTGACCCTTTATCCGAACATAATCTAGAAATAATATTTATAATCCGGCAAGCACCATCAACCCCAAACATAAACTCACCCCCCCCCCCCCACACACACACACATACACAAACAGACACAGACACAGGCACAAAACAAAATTTCATCAACACAATAATAAACTCTGCAAATAGTTTGAAATAAAAAACGTACGAAAAAGTAAGAAAAATGGACTCTTATTTATAATATCACGAAGTTCTCTCGACAACGATGTTTGTGTTATTTCTGGATACAGCATCGTGAACGAATGGCCGGTTAATAGATGATATGGCAGCTTGGAATTTCTCAGCTAGTTTGGTATTATTCTCAAAATAGTTCTTCATTTTGTCCAAAATCCAGCTTGTTGGTAAAAATATGACATCACGATTAAACTTCCCGAGTTGTTGGCAGAGAAAGCACCCGGTCTAAAGTTACTCCTCAAAAATGGACTCATATTTATACTGCCACGAAGTTTCTCTACAACGATGTTTGTGTTATTTCTGGATACAGCATCTTGAACGAATGACCGGTTAATAGATGATATGGCAACTTGGAGTTTCTCAGCTAATTAGGTATTAATTTTCAAAATCGTTCTCCATTTTGTTCAGATCTAATCCAGCTTGTTGGTAAATGTAAAACATCGACGTGAAGATGGCCTGTATCCTTAAGACATTTACTGCGCCTATAGTTCTTTTTGTGCCATCAGATCGATCAGCCGCTGCCAGGCAGATACAAATTTTGCAAGAAACGGATAGAGAACAAGCTAAACAAAAAGCGATTTTTCGTACAATCAAGGGCCATAATTCAGGAAGTTACGAATATCGAAAGGAACCAATAACTTTGGCTTATAAACATGTACTTCAAGTTTCATCAAAATCGGATCAAAATTGTGAGCTCTAGAGGGTCCACAACCTTATTATACCATATATATACACAATTTGAGTACGAGGGGCGGCCATTTTGTCCGGCAGTTTTGGTCCGATTTTCACGAAATTCGAACTCAGCTATAATTAGGGTGTAACGGTGATATATTTGAACGTTTTTTTTTAATCGGATAATAATTGTAACCTCTAGACGGACCACAAGCTAAAAGCGCGATTTGTCGTACAATCAGGGGCCATAATATCGAAAGGAACCAAGATCTTTTGGTTATATAAACATGCATTTCAAGTTTCATAAAAATCAGATAAAAATTTTGACCTGTAGAGTGCCCACAAGCTAAAAACGTGATATTTCGTACTATCAGGGGCCATAATCCATAAAGTTATGGTCTGATTTATACAAATACCGAATGGAAGCGATATCATTGGGAGATAGACCTATATTTTAAGTTTCGTCAAAATCTAATAAAAATTGTGACCTGTAGAGTGCCCACAAACAAATTTTGGACGGACAGACAGGGGCGTCGACAATATACGTCCACATGAAAATGTGGGCGTATAAAAATTGAATTATGAATTTTGCAAAAGGTATAGGTGTAAATCGCTTCCCTTAAAACTCTTTCAGTATCTTTCAAAAAAAAATCCTGTAAAATATAATCATCTCGTTTTTTATTAGTTTTCTCGTTGCTTTTTATAAACACCATTTTATTACATTTTAAGAGAACAGGCAAAGCCCTCTCCCCAAAAATTTACATGGACACTGTAATACAAGGTAATACAAAATTACAACAACTACATTCAATTTCTGGTGCATACACAGTGGGCTAAGATTAATATTATTAAATTCATACGCAAAGTTGATATGGATTCGCAATACGGACTAGGAATTTACGCTTGCCAAAAGTCTCTATTAAATAACAGGAATTTCCATGCCTAGTACCCAATTTTACACATAAGTGCTTTCTGGCCATCAGAATTCTACAAAATCTTCCCCCAAAGTCGAGTAAAAGACATTTCGGGGACTCTAGATTAAAAAATTTCTCAGGGGGAGAACGGCCCCGGACCCCCACCCCCTAGAAAGCTTGAATCTGTCGTGCCCGGCTCGTGGCTGCGTCACTCGTATTAGGGGCCTGTGAATCAGTAATGCAGTACAGTATACAGTGAAGAAGACTTTTATCAGCTCTAAACAAACATCTCCACTCACGCACTCTCAATCGATGACCAATATTGCACATCATGTACCCTCGCCCATCCAGTCTACACCTGTAGATTTGAATAAACGAAACGAGAAAAGTAACACCAAATGGACGAAAAGCCAAATAAAAGAACATGAGAGTTATAATGCAGACTCCTGTAGTAAGAATGAAAATTCTGCTAAAAAACACATATTATCAGCTTACTAAATTATCACACCCCGGACACCAGCTACGTAAATGACTCCTATGTACATTTAGGGTAAGTACCAGTATATCCACTGACGAAGATACATGTATGTACTCAGATTTAGATGAAACTGACCTTCCAGTTACCAGTGGTACCAGCAAGTAGTTACCACATAGACATTTAACCTGATCAAAGCGCAAACTAACCCCAGATTACCAGCCAATAAAATAAAAACAAGGAACAAGCCAACTAGGGCAGGGATCCCAAATGACTCAAACCATCGATTCAAACACACCAGTCTGGTCTAATTAATGCTTTCACTTTCAAACGAATTCTTGTTGTTTAGCTGACGGTGCCCTAATCCTATAGAGTGACTATAGACAGACATCTTGTCGAATCGGCGGCGTATACACTCATGCCCATCACCGACACACATGAGTGAAACTTGAATAGCATTGTTTCATGTGTGGACAGTACAAAGTACAAGTTACAAGGCTTAAATAGTGAAGTGGCTAGGGAATAGATTCGTCTTTTTCCCATCATAATGCCTCGCTCGCCTTGACAATTTTCGAGTCGCATGTTTAACTGGCTTTTTTTCTCGATTTTAAGGCTATGTTTCAATGATTTCCAAACGTTTACTTAGACGAATATATCAGCCAAATAGCTCTTGGAATGGCTACAGATGCAAGGAAATGACGGATAACTTTCTTGGGGGTAACCCCCCCCCCCAAGAAAAAAAAATCCCCTCTCAGCGGCGTGCCCCGTTTCCGCGGTCAGTGCCCCCATTTTGCGGCGCCCCCCCCTTTTCAAAATTCCTAGATCCGCCCCTGGTCAGTACTAGCGAGCATAGGCCTACTGTAGATGAGGCTATGGTATCACAGAGAAACTCACAGAAGAAAGGGGAAAGTGGTAAGCCTTATCAAGTGTAAACCAGGATCTCTCCAGTAAAGTTCAATGAATAGAGGAAGATAAAGTAAGTCTTCAAAACATACAAATTTAGTTGCAGCTGAGTATTAAAAAAAAATAATCAGAACTGTAACAAGGCAACCCAGACTGACAAGTGTAAACCAGGATCTCTCCAGTAAAGTTCAATGAATAGAGGAAGATAAAGTAAGTCTTCAAAACATACAAATTTAGCACCAGCTGAGTATTAAAAAAATAATCAGAACTGTAACAAGGCAACCCAGACTGACAATTTGAAGCATAAAGTTTCATCTTCCTAAACAGAAAATACAACTAAAAACTCAACCACCCAAACCAAGGCAGTATCAAAGAACATGGACACGCAGACGAAACCGGCCCTGGCAAATGCTAATCAAGCAGACAACGCAACCACTCAAACTGAGACCGACAGAATAAGAGTGGGTGCAAGCACAACTGCACCTAGTACATGTATGCCCACTCAGACGACAGCCGCGGCACCAACCAAGTTTGAATCCAAACTGTTGCCGGGCGGCCTACCAAATCTTATTGTAGGCTCATCAATTTTAAAACATTTGAATGGAAAGAGACTAGATTACAGAAATAATACAGAGATACGGACATAAACCGATGCCGGGTGTCACACGATGTCAAAAACCTATTACCGAAAAGTACCCAAATGCCTACATCAGATTCATAGAACTGCTGCCAAGAAAACGTTCAACTGAAAACACTGGCATAAAAATGATTAATAAGATACTACAAAAAGTGTGCAAAGATAACAATATCAGTGTAATTAACTCTCAGACATTCTTTGGTGATTCAAAAGGGGAAATTAAAAGTTATCTTTTTTCTAAGAAAGATGGAACACACCTTAATTTTAAAGGAACATCAAACCTTGCAATTCTGCTAAAAAAAAGGGCCTTAA